ACGGCTTTGCAGTGACTTCCCCCTGAACTCCGTGTCTTCCGTCCAGATTGTATTGTCTGGTCAGGGTCACCCATGGAGAAGCTGTGGCTCTCAGAGATACAGCAGGAGGTGGGGCGGGGTTCCCGACTGCCCTGATGTGTCTGATTTCTTGGACCCAGCGCCAGCTGGAGATAGCATTTTCCAACCTTTTACAAGGAGGGAGAATGCCCTCCCTGTTACTGATTTCAGGTAGAATCCTAGCTATGGTACCCTTCGCGCAGGACATCTTTTGCTGTCTGTGTCCTCCTGGGAGTGGAGCTTGTCATGCATCTGGACCAGAACGCAGGAGATCTGTAGCTTCAGCCCCACTTACTACTTTTTGGTAATGAGGCATTCGCAACATGACTAACTTAAGTCAGAGAAAAAAAAATGGTAAAAACATACATTCCACTTCTACAGTATGAGTGGCACTTTTTTTTCAAAGTAGGGATGAAAACTAGACAGTAGCTGTTATTTCCTCCAAAATAAAGATTATAAACATGAAGGGACACTGTTTGGGTCCCTATCAAAAGAAGAAGCAAGCTAAAGATAAGGAAAAAAAATTTTTTTTTCCATTTTCAGAGTATAATTTGTTCACAGACAAAAAGAAAACTATGATCAGCTGATTCCTTCGGATGAGAGAGTAAGCTGTCAAGTGCTTACCATCTGGTTCAGCTCCTAATCCAGATGGGCTGCCAATAGTAATTTATGAAAGGTTTGAAAGCAACTTGCCATTCTCCGGAAAGAATCATTAGAACACATTAACATTGGGATTGGCTCCCCTCCCCCAGCCCCAATTTGCAACAGATGCAGAGATGGGGCAACTGCTCCCATTCAACAAATAGAACCGTCTATTTTTGAGCCAGGAGTCAATATGTCTCTGCTCTTTAGAAAAAAAAGTCAAGCATTTTTCTTCCCCCTTCCCTCTCCTCTACTGGCTCAGTGAGTAGGGGAGAAAATGCTCCCATGATGGAATTTCTAACAAATGTCTGAAGAAGCCCTCACAGTCTGTCATTTCTGAGTATCTGTGGTGCTTGGAAAAGTCAAAGTCAGCATCAGGAATAATCTGGTGTACTTCATGTCCATGCACAGACAGGCACCATCTAATCCATTCGTATAGAGAAAACCCAAAGATCAATCAGTATATACAATGCAAGTTGTAGACCCACAGACTCTTAGACCCAGAAGTCCATTGTTAACCCCTCTCCCACCCAGTGAGGCCGTACATGAGCAGGTGGCTTCAGAGTCAGAACGAAATGACAGGGTACTTCGTCCAATCAAGTTCTATTATCCGCCCTCTGTTCTTGCCCTATCATCCAGTTAATATACCTGGGAAGGAATAAGACTCATTCCTGAGTGACTGATGGAATTCTAGTAATTTATTTTCAGTTCATGTAAGAATTGCTGGCAGAGAGTGAGGTCATATTTTTCCTTTGATCAAACCATCTGCTTTTCAGGCTCTGAGAAAATTGCCAATATGCATGCTATTACATGTTTTAAAATGTTCTGGAATGTTCAAAAGAAAAGTCTGGAATCAGTGTTTAATGTTCCAAACTGAAACTGATGGAATCAGAGTTGGTTGTAACGTGCACATTAGGTTTTTTAGTAAGAAAGAACTGTGGGAGAGAGGGAGTGGCCATGGGGTTAGAGGTGTGACAGATACATGCCCATTGGGAATAAGGGAGAGGGAAGAGATTACTGCCTGATCAGACACATGATCTAGCTGACACTGGGGAAAGAAAACCAGAGCTGGATAGGGTAAGCAAGATAATTCAGAACTCCTTGTACTGAGGAAGGGGTCTAAGTTACAAGTAAGAGTAGAGCGTACCCCTGGTAAGCGCTGTGAATTGTGCAAGACTGTTGAATATCAGATCTGTACCTCTGAAACAAATAATGCAATATATGTTAAGAAAAAAAAGAAGAAGAAGAAGAAGAAGAAGGTAGCAGGAGGGGAAGAATGAAGTGGGGGAAATCGGGAGGGGTAGACAAACCATGAGAGACGATGGACTCTGAAAAACAAACAGGGTTCTAGAGGGGAGGGGGGTGGGAGGATGGGTTAGCCTGGTGGTGGGTATTGAGGAGGGCACATTCTGCATGGAGCACTGGGTGTTATGCACAAACAATGAATCATGGAACACTTCATCTAAAACTAATGATGTAATGTAGGGGATTAACATAAGAATAAAAAAAAAAGAGTAGAGCGTACCCTGGACAGGCAATAACACACAGCCAAACAAGGCGATTCAGTGGGCCCCTCTGAGGCTTTAAATAGAGGAGGTCCCACTCAACCTAATGATAAATGCCAAATGTCCAAGAAGAAATTCGTCAGTCTTTGGATAGTTTAAAACTTCTGTAAGTGGGCAAAGGGCAAAGTCATCATTGTTTAAAAACAATTGAAGACTTCATTAGTGACATTTTTATACAGTAACTCTCTGTGCATATGTTCTTCTTAAATCTATATCTTCTCTTCCCTTAAATTTTGATTAAAGTGTATTTTATTTAATTTGAAAATATGCATTGATCCACTAACAAGTCTCTATGCTCAGGGCTACAGAGGATATATGGATGAAAAGAATGTTGTCCTTTCCCTTAAAGAATTTACAATGTGGGGCACTTGCATGGCTCAGGGTTTTAAGCCCCCGACTCTTGATTTCGGCTGGGGTCATGATCTCAGGGTTGTGAGATTGAGCCCTGCATCGGGCTCCATTATTCTCTTTCTCCCTCTCCCTCTGCCCCTCCAGCCCCCCCTTAAAAAAAAAAAACAGAATTTACAATGCAATAGATATATATGATAAGGCAAAAATCACCACAAAATGAGACCCAACCTCCTAGGTCACTGAAAAATTGAAAAGGAGTCGTCCTTCCAAAGACACAGAGAGATTGCATTTGCTTGGTTGTGATTCATCTAAATTAAAATTGCAAGTTGCTAAAGAGCAATATTTTCACAAAAGGAATGCTTGATCTGGTTTTGTTTCCCCATTTCTGTCTCTGCTGGAAGGTTCCTTTAAAACATGAAGTTGGACAAGTGTCCCTCTAGTGGTCACTTCGCAAACTACAGGCAGATATTGCTTTGGAGAAGCCAGCCAATTTCAAAAGAACATGCCAGTCAGGCTAATCCTGTTTCCATTAACAGTCAACTCGAGTGAAGGTGAAATCTTAGAGGACGAATACCTTCCCATCCCATCATGTGTCAAGAGTGTGGACTCTGAGATCAGATGAACAGGTTCAAATCCAGGCTCTGCCACTTAATAATGGTGACCTGGGCAAGTTACTGAGCCTTTCGTTCCTCAGTTTGCTCATCTACAAAATGGAGATAACAATTACACCCAGATGATAGGGTAGTAATGAGAATTAGAAAAGAGACTATTTAAAACATTAAAAATGCTGCCTTGCCACAGTAGCGCTCATTGTTTTTAGAAAATGTTTACTTTCACTAACTGTTCTCTGTATCTTCTTTCCACATTGCAGCTACTTCACTTTTCTTTGTTACTGGTCTTTCTCATTCCAGATTTGCATATTCTACAGAGAACTTGGAACTTATAATACATAGGCCAACTGGGCTTTAAGTGCTTTTTTAGTATATCATGTCCCAAAATCTAAAACCTAACCAAAATACGATTGGTATTACCAATACACTGCTTTTATTTACAAAATTTGTAGACTTAAGTATCACTAGAATTATTTCTATAAAACCCTCCTGATTTCTTGATTATACTTTTCACCATCCCTGAGCTATTAAAATGCAAAACTGATTGTTGTAAGTGTAGCATCTGTGGAACATTATGTGTCAGGAGTAAGATTCCTCACAGTGGTTTCATTTTCTCTCCCCGGTTAAACATCTCTGGGGCCCCAGTGGTACCCACAGGACACACATCCGACAGGATTTTCAAGCTGCCTGATGAACTCTCACCCCTTTGGCAGCTTTATTGTCATTCCTGTGAAGTTACTTTATCTCTCAGTCATATGAGATCTTGCCCTCATTTCATTATTAATTAAATTCGTTTTTACAGAGTCATAAATTAATTATTTGAGGTAAAATTAATGAAATCTGTACCTCACTCCAAGATCTTTTTTAACTTTGGGTAATTAAATTTCAGAGTTATCAGGTTAATCTTTATTAGTATTTGAAGGAAATGACTGACACAAAATTGAAGGCTTCAATTTCTTATGTAGTAGGAGAGCCTCTGTCTTAGGGGTAGGTGGACAAATTAAAAGGTGCTCGTTCCACCAGCAACCTCCCTTCATTGTTTTGCATGGCTGGTGGGCCTACATTGGACATGGGTAGGAAACTTGCTAATTTATCTTTAGGCCAGAGCAAATGGGATCTGACTCTAAGGTCATTTGTTGTTCTAAAGGCATGTGTGTTTTATGAGCTTTCATGTCACTTTTCTCTTTCTCATGAGAGGTGAAAAATGACAATGTGAGACTCAGTCTCTTTTTTTATGAACAAGTACATTAGATTCCTAATTGTTGGTGATAACTTCGTTTTCACTTAATGAATATAGCCTTGAGCATCCGTCATCATCGAGAACAAGGAACTTAGTGTTACATAAATATTTTACCCTATTGGATTAGTAAATGGTTTGTTAACTGGCTGATCCCCATTTCTATTCAAAGAGCATCTTTAGATAAATGAAGCTTTTGAATCACACCCCCAGGAAAAATTCTTGGCAAACATACTGTGCTTTTTGCCATAGGGTTCTCAAAGTATCTTAGAGAAATATTAAAAAGTAAACCTTTAGAAAAAAAGACTAGACCATTTTGCAAAAACCCATAACTCATCTTTTCCCACAGGACTGACTGATTTAAACAAGGGAACATAATTTAATGTTACTTAACTTCTGTTATCCTGAAGCCTGAAGCTTGATAACTTTTATCGACTCATCCCTATCATGAAAGAGCAGACCCACTTTGAATGTTCCCTGTTCCTGGGGCTTCCCTATCAGAGCAGGGTGAACTAACAGCTGACTTGTTCCATTCAGCTCTCGGGTGACTGGAGTCCGCGAGATGATGGGATGCATTGAGAGGCGAGTGGACCAACTGACCCAACAGTGTTCAGCGCACAAAGAATTTGCTCTTAAGAAACAGCAATTAACTGCCTCGGTGGAGGGCCACCTCAAGAAGGTAGTCTCTTAAATGTGCCCTCCGTTGGCTACTACTTAGATGCAGCTCCTTCCTTGGTGATACTAGACAAGGTGATACTGGGTACCGCACCTGCAGCGTGGGGCATGGTGGGAGGATGGTGGCACATCTCCTTTGGCTTCCCTTAGGTTCCACATTGGGTTTTATCATTGAGCAGCATAGAGTTATATAGTTCACAACTGCTCAGCAACCATTCCTCTCTCAGGTTGCTGAAACTTGCTGTGTAATCCTCCCCGCCACACCAGCCAGCCCTGAACACGTACACACAAATATAGTTCTTGCTCTGCATAGAACTGAACCGTGTGCATATTGGGACCGTGTCCTTGTTTTATGTGGGCCTGTGCCTGGTTCCAATATGTACACATTTCAGTTAACATGGTATCATACAACATGAGGACGGCACATAAATACCAAAAGTGATGTTTTAGGGATTTCCAGGGAAAAGTTGTCATTATCATACTTTATTGAAGCAGGTCAGCACAAAGGACATGGCCATTCCAAATAAAAACATACATGTGAAAATCCTTTTTCTGCAGAGTGGATACAATGACTTGGTACAGGAGAAATTTATTTCCCGTTTTCAAAGAGGAATAAAACCAGGCAGCTGCTGTTTGGCTAAATAAAAAATTGCTTATCTGTAGCTGGGATGTACAGCGAAAACTAGCTCAGGGACATTAATGCTAATGAACCTTGATGCCCCCGCTGGGTCTCAGATTTTCAACGATGTCTTCATCTGATACAGTGGACTCATATGCCTGACTTAAACAAGTAGAATTAGTAGACTTCACGGGAGAGGACATTAAATAACCACGTCTCTATCCACATTGCCCTCCCACCTGTTATTGATCCCGAAACTTGGGAATCTGAGACTTGTTCCGATGCCTGGGTCCAGGGAGAATCCAAATATGGCAGCAGCTGCAGAGCCACATTCCCTGGAGCTTGAGACTCAAGCTAATTTGGTGGTGGTGGACAACACAGTAGGAACTCAGACAACTGTTGCTCCTTGTCTTACTGCCAATTCAGAGCCAACTTGCCTGTGGGAGGTATGGGTCCTGGTGAGAGCCAGAAGATGAAGAATGTAACTTGGATGTTATAGAACCCTTTAAAGATTACTTTCCCATTGATTCGTGTGTACTAAAAATCAAATCATAGTCCCCCACATTCATCAATTACATGGCCCACGTGGGCCCCTGTGTTTTACAGTCACATGTACAGGGTTTGGTACTGCCCCAGGGCTCCTAAATGTAGCAACCTCCAGGGTGATTTAATACCCAGCTTTGGACCTTTACTTCAAGATGTGCCTTTAGTGGGCCCCCTTCAACTTACAGTGGATGATTATGAGTTAATTAATCAGATAAATTCATCTCTGCTGATGTGTTAGCAAGTGCATTATCTTTTCTAGGTAATATAGGTGATAAGTTCTTAGAAGATGTGGATGATTGTTTATATCTCATTGCTGTTAATAAAATATATGTCTGTTAATAAATATATGTCTTTAAACATATACCCTGGGTATGTGGTGGGTCAGTAGCATTACCTCATATGAAGAGCAACATTATTAATTTTAACATGACATTCTAAAATATTTAAAACTATTTTTAGATGGAAATTGGTATATCCATTTAAAGTACAATGGGAATAGAGAGAGTAGTATTTATCTTTTCTATACATATGCAGACATGTATGCAAGTACATATTACTAAGACTGCAATATATTCTTTATTGCTAAAGGTGGAAATGTCAATTCAGAAAATCAGTCCAGTACTTTCCAGTGCAATGGATGTCGGTTCCAGCCTTTCTGAATCAGGGAAGATTTTGAGTAAATACTTGGAACTAGATATGAAAGCTAAGGTAAATTAAATAGGAATTATTATTGTGGTTATGATTTTGTAAATATGACTTCTTTTCTTTATATTCAGTGGCTATAAAACTTAATGCTAGCTCTCTTGAGGGTTGCAATTCTAAATTAATATTGTGGTAAATAATGACTTAAAACTTCTATTATGTGTATCTAAATTATTTATACTTATATGTGCATTTATTAGGGTGTTCACTGAACTTTGAGTTCACTGAAACTTTGTAACCTGGTATTAAACACTCATCTGGCCCCTTTTCCTTGCCTGGGAGATGTTAGCAACTCCTTTTGGGATGCCACAGGACGCAGGGAGAGTGTTTCTCTAAGACTATTTGTGATTTTCTGCTAGAGTAAGTTACGAAAGAAAATTCCCAGAAGCAATATGCATTAATGCAGGATTCCAGGAAGCAAATAAAAAACACAATCTTGCTGCAAGCCCAACGTTCAGGGACAGAAAATACCCTCCTCTTCCCGGCACCTTCTCTGGCTCCTCCTCACCCCTTTCCCCCTGGGACTTAGGTTCAAATATTCCTGCTAGTAGCTCCACCTCTGCACTGAGTCCCAACCGGCGCAGCAGATGTTTAGAAAGGTGAGTCTATCAGCTCTCCCAGCTCACCCAAGTCAGTAGGCAACGGCCTTGTTATTCCATCGGTTCTCAGCCAGAAGACCTCCTTCATGTTTGGGAACTCACAGACACACCGATGTTTTAAATGGAATTTTTTTAACTCATTATTTCAAATGTTTAAAATAAAACATATGTCTGAATTCAATTTCACTATTATATTTTAAGAATTGTAGAAGAAGGGAGGAAATGGCACAGGGAGAAACTCCCCTGCTTCCTCCTACCCAGAGTGCTATCTGGAAGCAACACTTGGAAATGAAAATTAGCTTCATTCAGTGGAGTACTTGGGAAGCATATTAAATATAAGCAGGGAAGCAATTCCTTCTTGCTGCAAATGACAGTGAAGCTTTTTTCTTTCATTTTTGCTTGATTCCTAGTTCAGTCTCACATAAAATTTTACATGGCTCTTTCTGTGGCAATTGCAGATGTAATGCCTACCATACTGGCTTATCCGTTCTCTGTGAGATTTTACCTGCCAGGAAGTACACTCAAAAGAAGACCCAGAAGAGCAACCCTGTGGGCTACTTAGATTTCATATATAACATTTCCCCTACCCTTGTTCAAAAACCTTTCTAGATAGAGATTTAAGTGAGACTACATAAGTGACATGTCATTTTTTATAAATTAAACAAGGAGTAAACAATTTCTATAAACTTGCCATCTCTTGTATTATTATAATATATAAATAAATTATAAATTAGTTTAAGAATTTGCTAGAGCTATTATTAAATTTCCCAAATTATTAAATTATTAAATTTCAAAAAGCAATCCTCATGTATAATTGTTAAATGAATTACTCAAAACATTTCTGCCATTTTGTTTTATAACTTTTCATACCAAACAGCCTTTCTTCTCTTTGTGACACACACACACACACACACACACACAAATAGAACGCTCCAAATGAAAAGCAGAGCTGGTAGAGTGAGAGAATAATTTGAGATGGTTTTCATTTTAAGATTACTTTTTTTTTTTTTAAAGTTTGAAAGTTATGCCTTTTTTTCATTGAGGAGAGTTCTGGTACAAGTTCAATTAATAATTGTAATAGATGGATGTACAGAAGGTAATGAAATGTGAATGTTCATGATTCCCCTGTCAGCTTCTGACCCACTGTGCTTTGCTTTCATAGGAGACAGCACATGAATTAGAAGCAGCTGCAAAACTTATGACAGAGAAAAATGAATTTGAACCTGATGAAGTGGCATTGCTTTCTTCTAAAGCTAAATGGCTAGAGGAAGAATTAAAAATACTTGGCCAAAGCATCGGCTCCAGGTCACAAGTCCTGCAAACTTATGTGGCATTTCTAAAGTCCTCAGAAGAGGTATGGTGCCCACATGTGGACCTTCTTCAGCAAAGTGGACTCTGCCCTTCTTCCTGCTTTCTCTGGGGGTAGAAGCCCTGCTGGGTGGTCCCGTATCCTCCACTCCCATGCGTGTACTCACTTACTGGCCCTTTATTCTCCAAGGCACCATACAAGAACTCAAAGAGTAGGTTGTTTTCCTAAAAAATAATGCAAGTGTTGGGTGTAGATACAAATAAGCAAGGTGGTTGTGTTGGAACGCTTTTTACTGTGGCCTACAAGCATTTATAATATCCTAAACAGAGAACAAAATTATTTAAAAATAAGTCATCTTCCACCATGGATCTCTTTGAATACTCAACAATTACTTTGATTCATTTAAAATGCATACACAGAATCAGAAATTATGGGCTTTTGGGTCGTCTCAGATCTGTCTTGTTTGATGCCTTTTAAAAAAATTTTTATTGTTATGTTAATCCTATAACAAGTTTACCTCGGAGAGCTTCTTCTGAGGCACTGTTTTGACAGGGTTGTACTAGAGAATCTGTGAAATTCCCTCCCGCAGACTACGGTTCCATCTCTCAGAGGTCCCAGTCTCTGGGAGATGGTATCAGTAATGGAAAAGGGCTAGGGTGCCACCCAGGAGCACGCACACTCTGCCACTCTCAGGGAGGCGGGCACTGGCCTAGCGGGAGGTAGAGCCTACACGGTCCACTCTGGGGTAAAGCCAACCAAAGTTAGGGAGCATGCTTGAATTTTTCTCACCCCCACCCTCCCACTGTCACCGGTCCCCCCTCCACCCCCAGCCCACCAACGTCCTGCCTGAGCACATCTCCTCTGTCAGCTCTCGTTCTGTAATGTTCTGAATTCTCACCCCTCAGGAAGAAGGCCATGCCCAGTCCCAGCAAATCTCAGGTAACCACTGCCCCGTTCCATGTCTTTACTCCACCTTTTGTCACCTAAACTTTTATTTAGTTTTTCTTAGCCCTGAACCCTTATGGTTTGGGAAAGGTATTGCAATTGACAGGATTATCCTGTTGAACATTTTTATTCGGAACTCGAAATGGTGGAGAAGGTACAAAGAAATGCTGTTTTCTGTGTCTTCATTGCCAAAAATGCACCTGCTTGGCTTCTACTTCAGCATCTACTTCCATGGCCGGCTCTGGCCTTTGGGACCAAGAGCCTCTCTAGGGCTGGACCTTAGCTTTGCAAGAAACACTTTCTCAGAAGGACCTCACATCTTTCCACCCTCCCTGCGTTCACTAAATCTGTTTTGCTCCCTGGTGGAGCCTTCTGTCCTTCTCATGTTGGCGGTGCTCTCAGTCCGTCACCCTCCAACCCCCTCGGGCTTTCCTTCTTTCCTCACCAGCTCCTGGTTATTCATTTCCAGCCCACTCCCCATCCTGTCATCACCCTGCCGTCCACCCTGATTCTCCCTGCCAATTCCCAATACCAGGCCAAACCAACCCTCCGTTTACTCAGCTTTCAGACACTCCTATGGAAAATCATACAGTTGCGCTGATGGGCACTGTTACAATGTATGGGTGGCTGCCTCCGCCGGGGTCCCCGTACACTCCCTTGTTGGTGCCCATTCAGTAGTGATTCTCAAACATCTTACCCCAGTTTCCATCCCTAAATCTCAACCAAGGCCCTTTCCTTGTATGTGACTGACACATATGACAAAAAATCCTTGGCCTCCTTCGACTTCAAACCTATTGACACATGGCATCCCCCAGTTGCCAATAATGTGAAGCCTCTGTTCGTGCCCAACATGAATCAGCCATCAGTCCTTCCCTGCACGCGCCTATGCCCTTCAGAATCAAGCTTCAGCTAGATCCATCCTCCACTTGTTCAAATCTGCTTTTTCCGTTGCTTCCTTCTTGTGGGTCTACAGCCATGGCCGATGGTGTTACCCTCACCAAGGCTGCCATTCTGTAATTGTCCTTCCCTTTGCGCCTGCGCTCTCTGAACGGGAAAATGACACTTCTCGCCTCTGCCTGCCTGTCCTCCCCAGGCCTCGCCCCGCTGCCTCTAGTGTATTCCCTCTTCAGTCCTGCCATTTACCACCCTTTCCCTCCATTGACATTGTCCTGATAAGCTACTTGCTAGTTGACAAATGAGATGCTGTATTTTCAGTCCTCATCCCCGTTAATCTCTCTGGCACATTTAACTCTCTCGCTCTCACCTCCTGTGACTTTTTAAAAGGCAGATTTGTTGAAGTACAATTTACATAGGATAAAATTCCCCTGTTTTAGAGTGTGAGGATTTTTAGTATATTTATAGAGCTGTGCAGGCATCGCTACACTCCAGTGTTAGTATATTTCCATCACCCCAAATAGGGGCCTGCTGCATACTTTTAGTCAATCCTGGCTTCCATCCTCCAGCCTCAGGCAAGCACGGAAATGCTTTCTGTCTCTGTAGATTTACCTTATTTGGATATCAACTTAAGTGGCATCATCTTGTCTACTTCTTTATCTGTTCCTTCTCCTTTTTCCTCATTTAGTTTGCTGTTTCTGAAGTGTGGTGAGTCATGGAGCTCTTACCTGTGCTCTCTTTTGGACATACTATACACTTTCTATACAAAATCACACCCCTGCCTGCGGTTTTAATACACTAATAACTCAAAAATGGTTCCTCAGCCCCCTCTCTTCCAAGCCCCAGACCAATGCTTTCAACTTCCAATCATACTAATTCCCTATATATCCTGTAGGCTCATAAAGCTCAACAAAACACAACCAGTTATCTGTTTTTCAAACATGTTTTTCTTCTGTGGCTTGGCATTGGATTAATGACCCCATCAGTTTTCAGAAGTCCCATGTAGAAGCTTCAAAGTCTTTTCCAAGACCTCTCTCAATGAGCACTTGTTTTGTATGAGCCCCATTCTTTTCATTCCTGATTTCATTTATTTACTTAAAGATTTTATTCACTTATTCAAAAGTGAGAGAGAGAGCACAAGCGGGGGGGGGAGGGGTAGAGGGGGGATGGAGAAGCAGACTCCAGGGAGGCTGAGGGGGTCTCAATCCCAGGACCCTGGGATCATGACCTGAGCCGAAGGCAGATGTGTAACCAACTGAGCCACCTAGGCGTCCTCATTCCTGACTTCGTTTAATCCTTATAACACCTCTATGTTTAGTTACTATTATTCCTCTTTTACAAATAAGGAAAACTGAGACTCTAAGAAGTTAGGGTATCCAAGATCAAACAGCTAGTAAATGTCACAGCTGAAGTTTAATCCCTAGCCTCCTCCCTTTGGTCTTTTCTTGTATCGAAGGCCATGCTATCCCTTGTTTATCTATAGGGACAACCTAAAAGATTTCTGAATTCCCCTTCCCCTCCACCTGAACCATCACTTCCTCAGTTCAAGCCCTCACCATCTCTTGCTCAGCTTAAAGAAGTTGTCTTCTGCCTGTTCTGCTTCCTGTAATTATCCGCTTCACTCCTTTCAAAAAATGGTCATTCTAAAGCAAATCTGATCATGTTACCTCTTGACATTCAGGTAATATGACAAATGTAATTTGTGAAACAAATTATAAATAACTTTTTTTTTCAAATTATAAATAACTTTTACTAAAAATGGGTGATGGGTATTAAAGAGGGCACGTTCTGCATGGAGCACTGGGTGTTATACACAAACAAAATCATGGAACACTACATCAAAAACTAATGATGTGATTAACATAACATATGGTGATTAACATAACATAATAAAATTTTTTAAAAAAAGAAAAAATGGATGAAGTATTGAAGTTTATCATTAATTCCCTTAAAGCATAAACTAGTACAGATTCAAGGGAATTCCCATAAATGGCATCATTCTCACTTGCATTCAAGTTTCTTTGAGCCATGGAAAAGGAGGATGAATTAAAATTTATGTTTTGAGAGTTGCACATAACCAACAGCCCATCAAATTGACATCCCAGCCTGTAGCGTACAGCCCCATAGAAGTGCTGATAGTTATGCTGATTCTGAACCATTGTGACAGCTATCAGTTGTTTCAAACTAATGAGAATCTGTCACATCATGTTGGTTAGAGTAGAAAACAAGATGAAACCTGCTGGCCCGCTTTATCCAGCACCGTGATTCCTCTAGCTTCTTTCTTAACCACTCAGCTCACGCAACCTGAACTTCACTCACACTAAGATCTTTTATGGTGCTCTGAACCAGCCAGTGTTTTCACACTTGTGCCTTCACACTTGTTAACCCTTCCGTCTGGGATCCCCTTCTACTGCCTCTTACCCTGGATAATTCTGAAAGGCACAGGTCAAAGGTCACTTCCTTTGGGTAGTTCTTCCCTATGGTCCCTCCTCAGCGGGCCCATAACATTGTGTGTATACTTGTCTTTGTGTTAACGATAATTTGCTTATGGTTCTCTTTCTCCCAGAACTATCTTTGGGAACCCAAGGAAATGAATCCTTAATTCTTTTTTTTTTTTTTCAAAGACTCTATTTATTTATTTGACAGAGAGAGAGACAGCGAGAGAGGGAACACAAACAGGGGGAGTGGGAAAGGGAGAAACAGGCTTCCCGCCGAGCCGGGAGCCCAATGTGGGACTCGATCCCGGGACTCCAGGATCATGACCTGAGCCGAAGGCAGTCACTTAACCAGCTGAGCCACCCAGGCGCCCCAATCCTTAATTCTTACCAGGGAAACTTAGGAGCCTCCATGGAGGAGGTAGCCATTTCACTAGTTCATGAAGGATAAGTAGAAAATTAAGGAAAGCTCATTCTAGGCCGAGGAAACAAGCATCAGCAAAACAGAAGCATGAATAAATGTAAAATGGGAAATGAGGATAGAACTTCTGTTTCTGAGCACCATTTGCAGGCCCACCTATTAAGTTCATTTAAATGATGAATGATGTTAATATCTTTAAAATATGGTGACTAACCATTGCCTGAAATTTCTCACCTTGTTTAGATTGCTTTTGGTAGTTATGAGCTCTTTGAGTCTTGTTCTATTGGCCATTAAATATTACTCAAAATGCATAAAAGCTTGTGTCAGAATTTTTCTATTTCTACATTACCCAATTACATATTAATCTATAGTTCTACAGGCACATTTGATTTTATATAAGCTCTGATCAAAGAGTGATTTAAATAATCTAGTACTGCTAGCATTGGTTAGCAAATGAGAAAATATAGTTTTAGGCAGGCGAAGTAATGTACCTCAGTAAGATAAGCCTATGGAGGCAGCTTAATATTAATACTTGCACAGAAAATTGGTAATTGTTTGTACTTTTTTATTCTGGTTTATCACTGATTAGAAGGAAATTGTGATTAATAATTATAAATAATTTTTCACAGGCTTACATTTCTTTCCTTCTGATTTGTATTCCCTGGTTGTGTGTGTGTGTGTGTGTGCGCATGCACGTGTGTATGTATCTTCCTTCTGAATTATAAAACTCGGCTTTAAAGGGACCCACACTGGTCTTTGACACAAATTGTCCCCAGTTGCAAAACATGCACATATGTAATACATAAATATGGTTTTGGCTATGGTAACTAGGTCTTATGGGTAACAAACTTGTCAGCTTAATTTGCTACTGAGGGGTAGTCCTATCTGTCAACAGCCTAAATGGATTTTCGTGTCTTTTCAGTAATTGACAATATTCAATAATAACTTAAAGAATTCTGAAATGTAGTTTCTGTTTAATTTTTACATAGGTTTTTACTAGAATCTACTGCTATTTTTCTTTAAAAATGTTTTTAAGTGTTCTTAATTTTCATTTATACTCTCCTTTTTTTTTCTTTTTCTTTTAGGTACAGGAGCAGTGTCAGAGCCTAAAGGAGTTTTACCAAACTGAAATCCTGCAGAAGGAAGAGGATGATGCTGAAGCCAAGCATCGATCTGACTCAGCTGAGAAGCAATGGCAGCTATTTTTGAAGAGGAGTTTTTTAACTCAAGACCTAGGGCTTGAGTTCCTTAATTTAATAAATATGGTAAGAATGACATTAAATGTGTTACACCTTCTGCAAGGATACCTTGTCAAAGTCAAAACCATAAATTCAAAAGTCCATCTGTCTGCTAATCAGCCTTGCTGGTTTAGGAAGTTGTTTTTGGTTTTATTATTTTTTTTGTTATTTTTTATTTTTTTTTTAGCTTTATTCAACCCAGAACAGTCCTAAAGCTGAGCATTTATATGCTTATTTGGTCTTAGACCTCCTATTCATTTCTAGTGAAGGCTATTTTAACTATTAAGAAGAAAGAGTGACTATAATTCAAATACAACATTGCCATTATTACATAGAGACCTCAATAGAAGTCCATCCGAAAGTTGTATTATTTTGAGAGCGTGCAAAAAGTCCTTACAAAATTTCCAGGGGTTAAAGACAACATCTAGGGTGAATCATCATTTTGAAGAATTTCTTACCATAGCAGATCTTTTCATAGTAAAACTCCATTATATTTAGAAATGTACTTCAAAATTTTAGTTGTCGAGTTATATCTGTAAAATACTAGAATTTTTATATCAACCCATGACCCATATAAAGTTCTCTACAGAGTTTTTAAAAAATGGCTAATCCACCTCTCCTTTAATACCTCAAGTATCTTCCTAATGAAACTGCTCATTTTGTTGTTACAAAATTCCAGCTACTAGAAACATTTTTTTTTTTTTTAATGTTAAGCCAAATCTGGCTTCATATCTCTTTCTAACCCTCTGTAGCTACACAGGGGAAAAAAGTGTTCATATTTCATTCTTCTCACACATGAAAGTCCTTCAAACACTGAAAATAGTTGCTATGTCTAATCTGGGTTTTTCCAGTAGCTAACCACATAGAAATCCTTTCTATCATTTATGAGATAGCTTCGTTTCTCTTTCCATCCTAATTCTCCCTCCCAGAATTTTCTATGGTTTGTCAAAATCATTCATAAAATGTAACCAAAAAGTGAGGTCCAACTTCAACACAAAGTACAAGAAAGTGGACATCATCCTTTACTAAGGAGACCTAAGATTATGCTAACATTTTTAGCAATAATTTCACTTTGCTGGCTCATATTAGGCTTGTGATCAAATAAAACTCCCCTTACATTTTCATTGCAATTCCTACCAAGCTACTTCTCTCCCATCTTATATTGGTCAGGCATTTATCTTTTACATACAAATGCAGGCCTTTATATTTATTCCTATTTAATGTCATTTTGTTAGTCTTTACCCATGATTCCATCTTGTTAAAATCATTCTGAATCTGCTCTCTTTTCTGAATTTAATTCTATACATTTTATAAGTAGGTCTTCTGTGGCTGCAAGTAGATTTTTAATAAAAGTGTCCAGGGGCAAGTCGACTTCCTAATCCATTAAGCCATCACTTGATTAACCCGTTTATTAAACGGTCATGGACACTTCCAATCGTACTTCATTTCAACCACTAATTCACAACTTTTTTCCTAAGTCTGTCATGAGCGAGATAGAACAAAAGAGTGCCTACCTACCAATTATCCTATCAATTACGTAAGTATAATTTGGCATAAATCAGGTTGACTCCTTGTGATCGAGGAATTCTTTCCAAAGTTCTCACAAACTACTTGATCCATGATAAACTTATTGCACTGATTTTCAGTGTAAGGCTTACCAATCTGTAAATGATGTAGACCATCCTTTTCCCCTTTGTGAAAATCAGGGCATTTTCCTTTCTCTAACTTTCTGGCCCTTCTCTTATTTTCTGTCGATTTGCAAAGATAACTGACATCTGCAATTTTCCCGGTACTCTGAAATGTGATGAGTCTCAGTCTGGAGTCTGAATTCATTTAGAAGAGTTAGGTTCTATAACTATTCTCATCACTTTGAGCTACAATTTTCTCTTTTTTTGTGTGATTTTTTTTTATTATTATGTTCAGTTAGCCAACATATAGTACATCATTAGTTTTTGATGTAGTGTTCAATAATTCATTGGTTGCATGTGCAATTTTCTCTTTATGTACTCTCTCCACTTTTACTGTTTGAAGACTATTCTTATTAAATCTATGAGGAAACAAAATAAGTATTAAATAGTGCTAATTTATCTAATGCTATTCTTAAGCATCAGAGAAAACTTGCTAAGCAATTTGCCCATGTTCTTATGTTATACAAGTGCTTTATTGTAAAAACTAATTAAGTTATTTTTCATTTGGAACATTTAGAACACGTATTATCTATCTATCATCTTTTACATTTTTACTCAGTCTCTTGATTGTGTACTTCTCTAATTTGTATTCACAATGGAATTCAAATATTTGCAAACTACATTTTTATGTCTATCCTTTTTATTACTAACTTCATTTCAGAAATTTATTTTTCAGTTCTGAAATTTCCAGTTGGATCTTTTTTTATTAGATTTCAATTGCCAGTGAAATTCTCTCTCTTGTCCTCTCTCCATCTCTCCTGTACTTTCTTGACCATATTAATCATGGATATTTTAAAGTGTTTGTTGGCTAATTCCAATATCTGGGCCTGGAGTTGTTTCTGTTGTCTACTTTTCTCTTGGTTTCCAATCATGTAGTCCTGTGTTGGCAGGACCCATGATTCAAATCTATCAAATCTCAGACAGTATGTATAAAACACATGCTTTACCCCGAGGTCCTTACCACTTTCATATAATAAATTCCTCCTTATTGATAAGACTTAAGATCCACCTAATAGTTAACTTTAATGGTTCAGTGACATTCTGAGATAAGAAATTATTGGTAAAGCAAGTAAAACACATTTTTAATCCTCTTCATATTTTTTGGACCATTAGGCTTTTAAACAAACATTATTGTTGAAATGTGGTAACCAGTTTTGTTGTTAAAAGGGAAGAAGGCCAACTGGCATTTTCCACTGAGTGTCCTGCTCTTGATTAGGTTGCTGTGGCTCATCTTTTCAAGCTTGAAATTGAAAAATTTTCAGTTCATCTAAAAAAAAATCATCAAGACCAGAGAAATTGATTTAGGTGAGAAATCTGGCAGACATCTTGATGAAAGTGTCAATTTACTAATTTATAGTGGTGAATATCAAAGATGCTATCCAGGTTACTGCCTTCCTGTTATCAACGTATCTAGAAAACAAAACACACCATTAACTGTGCCTGAATTCAAATGGAAAATGGGTAATTTAGTACCCTATTAGATAAGATTATGACAAATTTTTCCATGCCCCTACACAGAAGTAGGGTGAGTATTGTGTTTACTAACTAGACCTCGGACAAATTATTTAATATTCCTGAGTGGTCAAAATTTTAAGTCTGCCAAGTGCATCATCACTCTTCTTGAATCCTGCTAGCTAGACAGCAACAAATACTACTGTGCTCTCCCTTTTCCAGACCTCACTCGAATCATGCCCTGTGGATTTTGCTTGACACTGATATGCTGCAATTTCCAAGTTTACATTAAATTATATGTTATATTTTGATTAATAGTTACTTAATAGTATGTGAAAGATACCCTAACTTTATAGCATAGGTAAAAAAATATATTATTTGCAATGGGTTTTGAAGTTGTCTAGTATCTTTTATGATATATTAGAATCTTGTTAACCATAATTGCAGCATATATCATTTTATTTCTGAACCCCCAAATTCATGGGAGGAAATCTCATTTAGGACCTGCAATTATATTCTTTTGTAATTAATCAGTACTTTATTATGTCTAAATTGATATAAAAATATAAATATGAAATACTGATGTCCTTTAAAATAATTTAAAAATAAGATGGAGTTTTAAAATATTGTTGCATATTTATGACACTATCTTCTGACTACAGTTTAAAAGATCCCTTGACTTTTAGATACCTAGCTGTAATTGCAATTATAGACAACCATGCATATTTGCTCCTTAGAAATTTAATGATTTATTGAGAAAGGCTGGCCATCAAAGTAAAAACCATTGTTTTGTCAACCAAATATTCAAATATCACATTTTGTATGTGCAAACATAAAAAAAAACTAGGTCTTACTCTTTACTTCTCTTATCCTTCTGCCTCCAGTTGAATTTCCCCTTGTTTAAAAACAGTGTTTAAAGGTTTTCTGATCAGTCAACCAGAACATATAGAAGTTGGGAAAAGGGCTCTGCATTTAGATATTGTGATTCTAGTGCATAAAAGAGATACAAATATAGAGATATGTAGACGTATACATTTCAGTTCTCACAAAAGGGAGTAACTTCAAGCACGGCTCACAAGAAAAATTTAAAATAATCATAGTATATACAATGGGATAGTTTAAAGAGAAAAACATACCCCTCATATTCCTGATACTAAGATTTTGACACATTCTAATGAGTGTGTTAAAATTAAAGGTGGACTACACTTCAAAACTTATGCATTAAAATAATCTTGACTTCAACATTTCTGGTTCCTGGTGCTCATTCTATCCCCTTAAGCCCTAGGAAATAAGCAGACCCTGGCCAGGGGTGCGAGGGTTGGGACTCAAACACCACTGAGGTTTTGAAGAACTCAGGACCTGGTGTCCAAGCATAGAATATAGGTTCTGAGAGCCCCACTGTGCCTTCACACAAGCATTCCAGACTTGTCCTGATATCAGAACCGTGCCCTGCATTGGCTATGATCAGGTGTTTGCTTCCTAAAATAGTGTATGCAAAAATGTTGTGTCTCTTGGGAAAGAAAAGCCATTATATGGATTATTAATTTAACAGGCAAAAAGGGATGAAATATTAAATGCGAAAAGTGAAGTGCACTTTATGGAGAACACTATGGAAAGCCAGAAGGCAGAAAGAGAAGAACTCAGCCACCTTCGGATGACATGGCAACTTAAAGCCATTGCAAGCAAGCCTGTGAAACAGCAGTGGGGAGCATTCAAAGAACAACTTAGAAAGGTACAGGAACATGCAGTGGATATTATTAAGTCTTAAAAACGAATGAAATTCTGACATATGCTGTAGCATAGAAGAGACTTTAAAACATGATGCTAAGTGAAATAAGCCAGTCACAGAAGGGTAAATGTTGTATGATCCCACTTACATGAGGTACCGAGAGTCAAGTTCATAAAGAGAGAAAGCAGAATAGAGGTTACCGGGGCTGAGGGGAGAAGGGATGGGAGTTACTGGTAAATGGGTACAGAGTTTAGTTTGGGATGATAAAAAGTTTTGGAGGTAGATGGTGGCGGTGGGTACACACTAATGTGAATGTCCTAATTCCACCAAACTGCACAGTTAACAATTAGTTAGAATGGTAAATTTTGTTATGTATATTTTACCACAATAAAACCAGAACGAAGTAAAGGAAACTCAGGGCCTGCACTTTTGTTCACTGGTGATTTAGAACCTTGAACTCACTTGAGGTAGTGAGTGTTTTCATAGGGATGGAAAAGTTCGATGACATACTAGTCATCGCTGGAATGGTCGTTACATATTTGCTGGTGGTATCAAAGAAAACAAACTCATGACTATCTAATGTTTATTTCAGACTACTTACAACTTACAACTTCTTCAGGAAGCACTTATGCCTGTGTCTGCTCTTGACCTTGGAGGGAGCCTCCAGACCATTTTAGGTCTACAGAAAAAATGGAACGAAATGAAGCCTCAGCTCCAGGTGAAGAAACAGACTGATAGACTTGGGTGAACAGGAAAAAAATAAAAAACTGAGGCTTTCAGAGGGGAAGGGGGTGGGGGGATGGGTTAGCCCGGTGATGGGTATTAAAGAGGGCGCTTATTGCATGGAGCACTGGGTGTTATACACAAACAATGAATCATGGAACACTACATCAAAAACTAATGATGTACTGCATGGTGACTAACATAACATAATAAAATTAAAAAATAAACAAAACATAAAATGGATTGCCATATGACTTAGCAGTTGTACTCTTGGCCATTTATCTCAGAGAAATGAAAACTTATGTACTAAATACTATGTACACAAATGTTTATAGCAGCTTTATTCAAAATAGCCCCAAACTAGTAACTACCCAAGATGTCCTTCAACAGGGAATGTTTAATGATTAAACTAAACAGCCACGTCATGGAATACTACACAGCAATAAAAGGCATGAATGATTGATATACACAACAGCCTGGATGAATCTCAAGGGAATTGGCTGAATGAAAACAGCCAATCCCGAATGTTGTTTATTGTGTGATTCATTTATATAATGTTCTTGAAACAACAAAACTTGAGAGATGGAGAACAGATTACTGGTGTCAGAGTTAGGGATGGATAGGGGAGGAAATCATTATAAAGGGAGCCATGTGGTGATTGAATAATCCCTTATCTTGATTGTGGTTGTGGTTACATTAAGCTACACATGTGATAAAATTGCATAGGACTACACATATACACAGACACACAGACACACACACAAGTGCATGTGTAATTGGAGAAATCCAAAACAACTCTGTGGATTGTACAAATGTCAACTTCCTGGGTTTTATCTTGTTGTACAAGATGTTAACTTTGGGGAAGAGAAGACTGGAGAAAAGGAGCATGGAACCTCCCTGTACAATTCTTTTTTTTTTTTTTAAAGATTTTATTTACTTATTTGACAGAGAGAGACACAGCAAGAGAGGGAACACAAGCAGGGGAAGTGGGAGAGGGAGAAGCAGGCTTCCCGCCCAGCAGGGAGCCCGATGCGGGGCTCGATCTCAGGACGCTGGGATCATGACCTGAGCCGAAGGCAGACGCTTAACAACTGAGCCACCCAGGCGCTCCTCCCTGTACAATTCTTTGTAATTTTCTTTGAATCTATGATTATTTCAAAATAAAGATGTTAAAAGACAACACAAAACAAAATGAAACTGTTCAGTTGAGGTTTACCTAATTAATTTTCACAGACGGGTGAATTACTTTTTTTTTTTTAAACAAAAACATTGCTTGTCTAAAACTCCACTTTAAAAAGACATTTTTCTGGGGCGCCTGGGTGGCTCAGTTGGTTAAGCGACTGCCTTCGGCTCAGGTCATGATCCGGGAGTCCCGGGATCGAGTCTCGCATCGGGCTCCCTGCTCGGCAGGGAGTCTGCTTCTCCCACTGACTCTCATGCTCTCTGTCTCTCATTCTCTCTGTCTCAAATAAACAAATAAAATCTTTAAAAAAAAATAAAAAATAAAATAAAAAAAAATAAAAATAAAAAGACATTTTTCTTACTGTTGTTCTGCACTGTTCTGTATTTGATGAGACACAAACATTCAGGCCACAAAATGTCCTTAATATATTCTTATCTTAGATTATTTTAATTTATGTTAAATTATTTCCTTATTAATGTATTTATCACATATATTGACTCTAATTATTTCCCTAAGAGGTATAGACACATTTTAGATGAAGACATCTGAGAGCAAGGATGGGCAAGCTCTGACACAGAGGCCCTCCTGCCCTTTGTCCCCGAAATTGCCACTATGATGTCACTGTCCCCGCCCACTGGCACCCCAGGTTCCCAACACCCTCCCAGGAATCTTGCTGTGCTCTCCCTGTTCTCCCTCTCAGAGAGCCCTCAGGAGATGAGATAAAACCATGAGTCATGTTCCCAGGCCCTGACTCTGAATGCATTCCATACCCTCAACCTGCTGCGGCTCCTAAACCTGATACAGCTGCCAAAAGTGATTGCTGGTCATGCTGTCCTCCTGCCTGGCTTCTTGTTCTTTGCTGCAAAGTCAAGCTATCTGCGTTTCTGTTGGTCACAACTTCCTAAGTGTTGGCCTTAAAGAATGCCGAATCAGAAAATGGAAGATTCCTTTAAGGAATATCTATTGTAGATTCTTTAAAATAAAACTGATATCATGGATAACCAGCCCCCCGCACAAAAACACACCATTGTAGCCCATGGTGAATGAGTTCTTGTAAAATCTTAGAAAATTCAACTACCCTACGTGTTAGGTACTTTGATATACCCTGTGTTATATATGCCTATTTGCATTTCATGTTTACATGGGTGCACATGCCCCTGCACGTGCGTGAGTGTGTAAATCCCTCGAAGTCAGGGGCCATTTCCAAGCTTTGTTAGTTCTGTCACTGTGACGTGCATATATTTGATGTCCCCATGCTTGATTTCAACTTGAAGACCTTTCTGTTACTCTTCTGCAAATTATTTCCTTTGCCTAAATCATTTCCATTACTTTTCTCCTTGATAGAAGAAGATCCATCCCTGATGTTATAGTGACTTCCTCTTTGAGTTGTCCACCCTTTGCAAGTTCTATCCCAGAATCTGGATTCCTATAAGGGATCTCTGAGCAGTGCTGGGTAAAAAGGAAGCTGCTTTATCCCTCCCTACATATGGTGACTATTTGTGGATTCTGGGATGACCATTTTTTTAAAAGATTTTATTTATTTATTTATTTATTTATTTATTTATTTATTTATTTATTTGAAAGAGAGAGAGAAACAGCATGAGAGGGAAGAGGGTCAGAGGGAGAAGCAGGCTCCCCGCTGAGCCGGGAGCCCGATGTGGGCCTCAATCCCAGGACTCCGGGATCATGACCTGAGCTGAAAGCAGTCGCTTAACCAACTGAGCCACCCAGGTGCCCTGGTGGATTATGGGATGACCATTTTTAAAGCAGCATATCTACCACATGGCTCAGCTGGTAGTTCACTCCGACCACTCTGTTACTCTAGAGGACAAATAATTCCCCCAATATATTTTTAGACATGCCTTCTCTGGTGTTTTTACCACACTGCCTGATTCTAGTCTGTATTAAATATCAGAGATGGTCATGGCTTCACAGAATATCTAAAATACATTCAGTTAACAGATAACTGGAGTATTTGGTGTGCCACAGAAATAGGTGACTTTGTAGTTTACCAGCTGGCTTTGAAACAGGTTTTTTTGTATTGTTGATAATTTTTTTTTTTAATTTCTGAGAAGTTGGGGATAGAATAATGTATCCTTAGCATCAAGTACAAAGCTTGGATTTGCAGGGATGGGGTGGGGCTGACAATAAATAATTGTTAACAAATGAGAGAATGATTTGTGATTTAGGTCTTCCTATAGTCAGTTATAAAGTAAAAAGCTCCCTAAAAGCTGGATATTTTTATTGCTTTTAACTTTTTAGCAACTGAATGATGAAGTTCAGTACATTATAAAAGAATCAGAAGAGTTAAGTGGCAAAGGAGCCCCTATGAAAGAGAAGTCTCAACAACTAAAGGGGCTTATTCATCTCCATCAAACACAGAAAGAGAGAATCCAAGATTACGAGGATATCCTGTACAAGGTGGTCCAATTCCACCAAGTCAAGGAAAAGGTAAGACTTGTCATGGATACCTGGAAGACCCTCAGTTTTAAACTATAAAGTTAAAAATAAATTATTGTGCAAAAAAGGCCAAATTTTTTATTCTGGTATTAGGAGCTTTCCACAATCTGGCCTTTAACTTTTTTCTCACTATGCCTCTATCCTCCCTTATGATCCAGCCAAACTGAGCTCTTCTTTGTCCCTCAAAGATAGTGCACACATTCCTAACTCCAAGCCTGGACTCTCAGGCACCATTACCTGACAGATCCTTTTCTCTCCCCTCTACTATTTAAACCCTGCCCCTGCTTCCAACAAACCTATGTCACTTGGAATGTTTTGTCTCTCTTCTAAATTTCCAGAACTTTCATTGTTTATTTCACACATTTGTCATTTTTAGCACCTTGATTCTTTTTTTTTAAGATTTTATTTATTTATTTGAGAGAAAGATTGAGAGAGAGAGAGAGCAAGAGTAGGGGGAGAGGGAGATGGAGAAGCAGACTCCCTGCTAAACAGGGAGCCTGATGTGGGGCTTGATCACAGGACTCTGGGATCACGACCTGAGCCAAAGGCAGACTCTTGACTGACTAAGACACGCAGACGCCCCTAGCATCTTGATTCTAAATTACTTCTTCCCCTCAACTCAAGTGTAAGCTCTTCGAGGGAAGAAAACAAATTCTTTTTGGGTTTTTTTGTATCTCAATTAACTGACAATTTGGAGTGCTCAATAGAGCTTTATAGTTATTAGCTTCTATTAACAGAAAATGGACATCTATCAATTTCCCTTTAAAATAGCCTCTGAATTTACTCAGATCACAAGTCTAAATCTTGCAAAGGTTTTAAACTCTGACCAAAAAGAGTGTTTTCTTTTTTAATAGAATTGACAGTGTTAATCCCTCAATTTTACCCTATCAGTTTGAAGCACTGTAACATTTTTTTGGTCTATGACACTAATAATTATAGATGGGCTCGGCAGCATTTTGACCAGGTAGTAAAATTGGTTATAGCAAGTGGGCTTTTAAAAAAAATCTATCTTCATAAAAAATAGGAAATCCATGTTAATTGTTAATGTCCTAAATTCCAGCTGGGTCATCTCAATAAGTCAAGGGAAATGGAGCTTTTAGAAGAGCCAAAGGATCTGGATGATGCCCATGAAGCCCAGGTTCACCTCAGTCGCTCGCAGGAAAAGCAGGCACATATTGATCATCTCCATGAACTGGCCCTTTCCCTGGGAGTGGATGTCATCTCATCAGTGCTACGGCCTGTAAGCAACTTAGAACACCATCACTCACACCTAACTAAAGCTGAGAGTTGGGATATAATATCAAAGAAACCAGGCAGATTGCCTAGTATATGTTAAATTTAAAAATACATTAAACCATTGGGATAGTTATTTGTGGTGAATCTCTACCACCTATAACAAAAGAAAAGACTTTTAAGGAGAAAAATCTGTTTATAGAAGTCTTGTTTAATACATCTATTCTCATGCTAATTAAAATGTAGAATTGTAGAGCTGTGTTGTCTAATATGGATGGCAGTCAGGTTTTCGCATTTGAAATGTGCCTAATGCAACTAAAGAACTAACTTTTCATTTTATTTATTTTTAATTAATTTAAAATTTAAAACTGACACTCACTGTAATTATGGAAAAACTTTTAAGTACGTTGGGAACAGCTTGGATATGTGAATCTACATTTTAAACTATAAACTATGAAATTTGAATACAGATCAAGTATTTCTGATAGAAGTTTAGCAACAATTAAGAAGTGCTTGTAAGTGTGAAATACACGCTAGATTTCAAAGACTTAGTATAAAAAGCTGTATTAATATTTTTTACATTTGTTTACATGTTAAAATGATGACATTTGGTTGAACAAACTATATTCTGAAAATGAGTTGCACCTGTTTCTTTTTTACTTTTTAATATGGCTACTGGAGAATTTTTAATTATTCATGTGGCTCAGGTTATATTTTGATTGGACCTATGCTGCTTTAGCATTTTGGATCTGGAAGGTATCCTAGAGATGATCTAGCCCAGGACACTCATTTTATAAAAGAAGGATCTGAGGCCCAGAGAAGCTGCTCTATCCATAAAAGCCCATAAAGAAGGAGCTTCCTGGCTTCACCAAAGGCTTGCATACTCATTACTGGATCTGCTTTATGCCACTGGCCTGACCTTAACAAAGGAGCCTAAAAAAGAAGAAAATATTTCCAGATCATAATTTTATAAATAACACATTGGACTCTGATTAAAAAAAAAAAAAATCCTTCTCCAAATTCCCAATTTGAGGGAAGAAAAGATTGTTTATTCTATCCAATATGTATAACATAAATAAAATAATAATGGCCAATTTTACTTTAAAGTTCATTTAAGATCTCCACTAAATGATATGGAATGCAATGAACCTAAAGTGGTTTTTTTTTTTAATTTTTTAACTGAAAGACATAGAAATACAAAATATCTGTCACTGTTTATAGAATTGGTTTTTACCAAGAAGGAGTTTTCTTTTTAAAGAGTTTTATTTTATTGATAAATTTATTTTAAAAAGAAAGAAAAAAGTAAGATGTGTCACTTTGCACAAATAATATTATAAATTGTTCTCCAGCCCTCATCTGGCCTTGGCCTCAGCAGCCCTCTGTGTTGAGCACAGATTGGCGCACTTGCATAATGAACCTGAGGTTAAGTTCAAGTTGACAGGAAAATTATAGTGCAGAAGCTCAATGTTTCCAATGCATATTTTATGCCTTTTGAAGTAAAAATTATACCTTATAATAAACGGCGTCTCCGAAGAGTTGGGTGTGATGAGCCAATCTTCAAAACTGTAGTTTCAAGACTAGAGTTGCAATGGTTTGCCTTCCCCAACATGCTGGTGTCTGGCTTCTTTCTGAAATCATTACATTCAAATATGCTTAAGGTAAGGTAAGCCAGGAACTGGTTTTTTAATGCCCTTTATAAGTTTCATAACGCAGGTAAATAGCACGTTCGTCTCATTGCTGTTTCACCCACTCCTTTGTCACTTTCTCTTCTCTTTCATTTTCAGAACTGCTCTAACATTTCTGCAAAGAACCTGCAGCAGCAGCTGGACCTCCTTGAGGGGGACCATGTGAACTGGCGTGCCAAAGCCCAGGAGTATGAACGGACCCTGACCTGCAGCTTGGAGTACTGCACCTCAAGGGACAAGATAAACGAGGTGGGGTGGCAGGGGTGAGAACCGACACTGTCAAAAGCTGCTCTGAACCTAAAGCACATGTCTCTTGTCTGTACATGTGCACCCACAATCAGGAGACCTTTTATTCCACCTTGACCTTTCATCCACCAGCACGGTCTCAGGGCTCTGAAAGTTTGAGTAAATTTCCAGCACCCAAGTCAGTATGTTGTCAATGCATAGAAAAGCCTGGAATACACTACTGTGGTGTTTTATTTGCTTTCTTTCCCCCCACTCAAGCCTGTACAGCAATTGCTTGCTTGAGTGGATATAGCCCATTAGGGCAGAAACTGTGATGCTGTCCCCATGAAGCCAGCTCCGAATTGCTGAGATTCTATTTAAGTACCATTGACTCACAGTGAAGGGGGTGCCAAGGGCCAGGGGAGCAGGCTCTTTGCCTCAGTGGCTACAAAGTATTATCACCAAAGTCAAGTGGCTGGTTTCATATTTACTCAAATGGAGTGGCTTCCTGGCAAAACAACTTCTAGAGAAAAAGGAATAACAGATGAAAGTCATCCTCTACATCCACGCACCTGCTCACAAACACATAATTCCACCTACTCTCCCTCAATTCTATCTAAACCCCAACCCCCAAACATGTAGCAAGCCACAGTAACCCTCCCCTAGTTAAACTTCCCATTTAAATAAACTTATTCTGGGGAGAAAACATAGATCAGTATGGAAAATATAGAACCTGACTTTTGACTGAGAATTGACAGCAGGATAGAGAGTACTGTAATGCCAGACTTATCTCCATTTAGAGCAAAATGTTTCGAGTCCATCAGTCTCAAGTCCATTACAAAAATGGGTGGAAGAAAAGGAAGTGGTAAACCTTCTCAAACATTTAGTATATGCCCAATTATTTACATAATCTGGGCCCAGCAAGTATCAAATATCAGACAACATTAGCTCACGGACTCAAGTATGAGTAACTAAACTTGAATGGTGGTCTAGCTCTGAAGTGCTCCTTCCTGCAGGCCACACTTTTCTAGACCATGCGCAGGTGCAGGAAGGGAGCAGGGCTGGAAGGAAAGTGAGAGGGGCTGAGAACAGGAGAGGCCATGTGGATCCCAGGAGAGAAACAGGAACATCAACGACGGCTTTCATTTTAGCTATGTGCCGCAGGACTGTAGAGTTGCTGCTCAGAGTCCATGTTCCAGGGATGCATTCTGGGCTAGAGATTCATTCGAGGTTAAACCCAGAGTGTAGCCTACCCTCTATGGCCTCTTCCAGTTTCAGCTAACAATAGTTCATTCAGGTCTTATTAAAGAAAACAATATTAAAGAAAACATTATTCTCCCCAAGGCTATAACATTTAGATTTGCAGGCTTGCAAACAATTTTTTTCCTACCTTTCCCCAAAGTTATCTTCTTTCTTCCCTTCCTCCTCCTCTCTAATCCCTCCCCCTCCTCTTCTTCTTCTTCCTTCTTCTTCTTTGGTAAACTTTTGTTTTGCCAAAAATCTCTCTCACTGCAGGGATGCACAGCTCTATACTAACCGAAACCACAAGCGGAGGAGGCTAAGGGTTACTCCCAGCTCCCTATAGCTCGGTTTCCATCTTCCTGATGCGCTGTGGCTTTTATGGAGCTGGGTCTCCCTATTCAGGCCTTTCCCACAGTGGTTCTATTTACAGGTTGCCTCGTGATGAGCCTCTGCTGGGAGCCAGCTAGTTGAGATGACAGATGTCCCTTGTAGTCACAGTCGGGACGCCTAAGGATTGTCTGTACCATGAGCAACCAGATACATGTGGGTTTGATTTAGGAATCGGATATCACTTTAACATGACCTTAAACATTAAGAGAACTAGTCTTCCCACTTGCTTCTACTTCATATCCAACTAATCTTTGATATAAGTTACAATTTCATATTTAAAGGCTCTTTGAAAATCTTTGGTCCTTTTCTCCTTTCCTTTTTGTAGAAATTCAGTAGGCATGTCACAGTGTAGCATCCACACCCTGGACTTTCCAACCACAAGCCTAATGGGAAGATAATCAGAAGGAATATTTTTAGCACACTTTAGTGAAATAAATATATGTACACTCTAGTTTGTATTGTGAATATCAGAGTGCAGATGGGTAGATGCCAAGTGGTGATAATATTTATACACCTAGACATTTTTATTATATTGTCATTATTAATATTTGGCATAGGTACTTAAAACATTATAAAAAATTGAAAGCAATATGTTACTCTACTTTTTTTGTATATAAAAACATTAAAGTCAGACACCCCACGAGAGAACTAGAGCAAACATTGCATTTTTTTTGAAGATTTTATTTATTTATTTGAGAGAGAGAGAGAAGGGGGGAGAGAGAGAAGCAGGCACCCCAGCTGAGCAAGGAGCGCGACACAGGGCTCGATCCCAGGACCTTGGGATCATGACCTGAACTAAAGGCAAACACCCAACCGACTAAGCCACCCAGGCACCCCAATGCATTTTATTTTTTAAAAATTTTTTTTTAAGATTTTATTTATTTATTTATTTGAGACAGAGAGAATGAGAGAGAGAGAGCACATGAGAGGGGGGAGGGTCAGAGGGAGAAGCAGACTCCCCGCCGAGCAGGGAGCCCGATGCGGGACTCGATCCAGGGACTTCAGGATCATGACCTGAGCCGAAGGCAGTCGCTCAACCAACTGAGCCACCCAGGCGCCCCGCATTTTATTTTTTAAGTTGATTTGGAAACACGTTGTTTTGCTTCCAGTATGCTTCAAGTGCTTCTTGGAAGTTCACAGACTCTGGGTGGAAATAGATTTTGGAAGATCTCGACTTCGACACATCTTCCTGTTTAGGATGAGAAACCGGAGGTGTGTAGGATTTGCATTTGAACAGTGTGCTCTAGGACTACAGAGTAGTAGGCGTGTTGAGGAGTCAGCTTTGGGCCAAAAGCTCATCTATTGGTCTTCAGGCTTTACTGGGCACCAACACGATGTCACTTGCTAAACTCAGAGTCCCCACTCACTCCCTGCTTTAACGCATTCAACCATGGCATGGTCTGATGCGCTATGTACCCTTCCTCTGTGCTTTCCTCTGCTAGCCTTGTTTTCTGGCACAGCCGTGACAAGCTGTTTGGATGCTCTGATACAATAGCACAGTTCATTTGGTCGTTTCAATCAAATTACTTGTTGATGATGCCCTAACTAACTTTCCTGCTTATAACTGCCCTAGAGGTCCCTAGCAGAGGACTCAGTACCTCAGGGCAAAATAAAGGGAGGTGTTCTAAATGCGATTTTTTTTTTTATGTGATACGATATTCTTTAAAGACAAAGAACCATGGTTCTGTGCCTTATCTTTGAGTAAAGTATTATTATTTTCTCATTTCATACACTACATAAGACATAGGAAATTATAAAATCTCATTTTCTCCATGTCTACCTTCACAGCCTTCAGACTGCCAGATTTCGTGGAGTTTTTTTTCCACTCATTTCACACAAAGATACATTTGTATGCATAAATGTTGAATTTTACCATATATTTTCTTGCCTGGCAACATAAATAAGCTGTTAATACACAAAGCATTACAGACATTCTCTGTGGTGAGACGTGACAGAACATCATTAGTTACTCATTCTTTTACACGTCTTCATTTAGAAATGTAATAAGTTAATATCAAGCATGTTTTCTATCTGCAACCTGACCAAAAAAATTACTTTTACATAATGTTAATGGAAATCTGTAACTGGAGTCTCATTATGGGTCACAATTACTTTGCTGAAAAAAAAAAAAACAAACCAGCAATGACAAAATTGGGTTGGTATCCATTCTCTCAAAATAAGTTTTGCAAACAGAAGCTTTCATATAATTAGATTACTTTAGCCTGAAATTTTTACACTGTAGCAACATCCTACCCATTGGGAAGGAAGCAGAAAAGGATTTGGTGTATATATAGGTCTATTCCATATGTCGGAGTCTCAGGTTCCAGTTACACAAATTTGTTTGTCAGTTTGGATAAGTCGGTCATCTGAGTTCCAGAGATACAAGGCAGATGAGAAGCAGCAAATTAGAACAGGGGAATAGACACATACCCAACTCATGAAATCGAACTTCCTGACCTCATATAGCACTTTGCTGTTGACAAAATGACGATGGAGAGCCCCCTGCTGGCAGGATAAGAGGCAGATAAAGAGTGCCTGGATGGGTCAAACAAGCGGTGGGCAGTATTGTGGTATGGTGCGGGGGATTATCATTTTCCAGATCGATAACCCTAACTCGTCATTTTAAGGAAAAAAACTAAACTATCATCATTTGACACATATCGCCAATGTGGCTACACTGTACTGGACCATGAGCATATAGAAGTCTTCAGGGAACGTGGAGCCCAGAGTGAATTAAAGCCCCTGGGACTTCAAGTCACAGCCAGTCGCCACCAGGCCACACCATGGGTCCGTCCAGAGGGTATATAGAAGAGAATGGAGAAGATAGATTTGTTCTGAAAATGAACTTCCATAGGCATAAAAGGTGTTAAAAGGTTGGTGTTTCGCGTCGGCAAAGTGACTCTTTTTCCTGGAGAATACAGAGAGCTGAAGTTAAAAATCATAGTTACCAGGTCCAGAAAATAAAACCAACGTAACATGAGCACACAGAGCTTGAGGGGCAGAGCCAATAGCCGTTACGGAGACACCATGTCAAACGGAGCCGGCGTCCTCTCTCCACAGGCTGCCCCACTTCTCCTGCCACAGCGCTGGCCCTGAGCGCACGAGGAAGGACAGCCACGTGGTTGCCAAGCGCAGGGAGGCCCAGGGAGCCTTGTCCTGAAAGCTCTCCAGCACTTAGGCTTAATAGTCTAGCCGTAGTAATCGTAGCAAATCATTCAGGTTGAATTATGAATCTTTGGGTCCTTCCATTTCAAATGCAAGCATCCCTGGGAGGTGATAACTGTGAAGCCTTCTGTTACTGAAAATGAGCATCAGAAATCTTTTTCTTGGGGCAAAAGGATGAGCAAGAAATGAAGCTCGTGAAGTGGACATGAAGAGAAATGGACTATTTGTTTTGTATTTTTGCATCTGGCCAAACCTGTGCCATAGTTCCAATGAAGGCTTTCTTTTTTAATTTTTTTAGTAGGGTCCATGCCCAGTGTGGAGCCCAACATGGGGCTCGAACGCAGGACCCTGAGATCAAGACCTGAGCTGAGATCAAGAGTCGGGCACTTAACCGACTGAGCCACTCAGGTGCTCGGAGAGGCTTTTGTTTTAATGGGTTTCCTTACTATTAAAATGTCGCATGTCCCTCATATAAATTGGTTTTGCCAGCACCAGACTCACAATAATACGCCCTTATGCCAAAGCAGCCTCAACCAGCTTAGTCAAGACTAAAAATAGCAATTCAACCCGGTCATCATCAGCCTCGTCTTGCTTCTGCTTCTTTTCAAAGAAGCTTTGTTCATTCCTAACCCTGAGAGAAGCTCACTGCTCCCTGGGAAATATGGTGAAGATGTTCATTCTGCTGGTTTCAAAAGAACCACAATTTTAAAGTCTTAATTTTATTCCTAAGTATAGCTCTATTAACTTAGTCTGCTGATTCCATAACAAATATGGAGGAGCTGAACAAGTGGAAAGAGAGGAAAATCACATTATTCATTAGAAAAAAAAAATTCCTCCTGGTTTTTTAAAGACTTTTAGAAACTTTGTTAATATGGATTATAACAACATTTAAATCTTTCAAATAGGGTGAACTATCCTGCCCCAGCGTTGGGTGTTTTTTTCTGCTTACATGTTCTAGTTGAGCAGTTGTCTTGCCATTTCCACCATTCCCCATTGTTGACAAGCTAACTAAAGTTAGAAACAGCTACAGGAACAATGATTCCATAGCCAAGCAACCATGGCACTCAGTTCCTTTAAAATGATGATCACAAGTTTATACAGGGATTAGATGGGAAGTTAAGTTTTCATGTTGGAATGTGCAGATAAGAAATTTAGGCATGGTTAGGTTTTTCTGAAAACCTAGCTGCTAAAGGTAGTTCCTTCATGCTGCCTTCCGCTTGTATCTGCAATAGTCCTAAATTTGAGCTGGGAAAGGCACAAGATTTAAAGTGCATTTCTAGTGGGACCAAAAGAGAAAAGTGCCAGCAACTTTGTAAAGGGAGCTCCTGTGTCAGAAAGAAGCTGATTCCATTTCACATATGCATAGTGCCATGAACTTATATATATCTTATAAATCATTTCAGTGGAAGTACATACATTCTGAAGCCACAGAAGTAAAATTGTGCTCATCATTTATCGACCTTAAATTTTTTGATTCAAAATAGATTTAAAATTTCATGCTTTAGAATTACAGTGTTAAGGCTCAGCCTTTCTCCATTCATCACATAGTTTTCAAATAGAAGTTGATCTTTCCCATTCAAACAAGCAGACATAACCCAGTGATTATCAGATTGATGACAGAGCCCCTCTTCCTTTCTCTAGCCTGAAGTTTATAATGTATATCATGTTCCAGTAAGAGAAAAAAGAATATAAAATTTTATTTTCCAATGGATACTTATTAGTGATAGGACATATATTTGCCCTTTTCTTTTTTCTTTTCTTCTGTTTATTTTTATTAAAAAAATTATATTTTTAATTGTAGTAAAATGCACATAACATAAAGTTTACCTCCTTAACCATTTTACAAGTACCAATAACGATATTAAGCACATTCACATTGTTCTACTACCATTACCACTATCCATATCCAGAACTTTTTCTTCATCCCAAACAGAAATTCTGTACCCATGAAACAATAACTCTCTACTGGGGACATGTTTTTTAATACAAGAATCTGTGGTTTCCTCGGATGTGGTAGTTATTACACCTACAATTGCAGATTATGACTTTGGGGGAAAAGAATTCCTGCCCAAGTTTTATGTGAATAACTCCGGATGTAGTCCCTTTATATCTCTATCCCATTTGTCTTTTCCCACTAAAATCAAACATGTGCATATTAAAACACTGAATGTCAAAGAATTTAAATATTAATTGGTTATTTCAAAAGTATACCAAATGAATATGACTTCTCAAATATTTGTGTGAGTTCTAATAGAGAAATAGTTTTCAAATTTTGAAACTATAGTTCTTACCATCTCTTTAGAATGTTACTGATTTATCAGTTTAAATGTTTAATATCGTCTCTGTGGTTGGCTTAATTGGTAGCTTAAAACTAGCATTCAACAATTTCATTTACCATATAAAATAAACAACATTGATTGTGTATAGGTGTGTCAGAGGCAAAAATTGCATCAGCATAATAATTTCCATGTATGCAAGTCTGCTAAGGCCTTTATAGATAATTGTCTCCAAGAAATGTTAAAGATAAGGTAAAGGTTCTGTTACTACAATATGCAGAATTTGAAATAAGCATTTTGAGAAAGCAAATATTTTTTAGGGCCAATATGTTTCTTATGTATTACAAGTCTAAAATCCAGCATGTACACGGCTTTTATTCCCTTCCAAATAATTTATTTGCTGTCATTGAAAAGAATTTTAATGTGTTTCTGACTTTTCTTATCATAGCTCAAATTTATCAACCATGACATTATTCATTTTTTGCTGTTAAATGCTTTCATATAATCTGAGAAGGTTTATGTTTTCTCTGTACTTCTCTTTGCTGATAATATAACAAGAGATTTGCCTGTCAATATGTTTCTCTTTCTTGAATATGGAAAAGGGCACAGAAAGTGGTGTGTTTAACGGGACTGGACCGCTTAGAGCTTTGGTTCACTGGTAAACTTGAACTGTGTGTTCTTAAGGCTGTCATAATGCACGCCCTACTCTCGGTTCATTGCCATATGTTCTGTTTATACACAAGTTAGCACTGCCAACAGTGGTCATGCTGTCACTTTACTTTCCGGTTTGGAAGGACATCTGAAGTTAGTGGCCTATATCTAAGAAGGAAATCTCTCCTGGAAACTGCTCATGAAAAATAATTTTTTAGCTGGATTTGGGCAAGTAAAGTATTTTTCCTACTAAGTCTCATATTGGGTCTCTTCTTTTATCCCACTAATGTCCTTAGTGTTCTGAAGGTCAACCCTTCGTTGACCTCTGCAACAGGAACGGCGCATGGGAGCCTAATCGATTCATTGCTGATACTGAAAGAGAGCCTCGGGAGGTGGAAGGATCTAGGGCAACACTAGCACACAGAGAATAGAATGAATGGGAAACATAATGTCAAATAAATACAAATAAGAAAATTAGAGTTGTTGAAAATCTATGATGTGTTAAAAACTGTCTTGTTTGGAGGCCAAAGGATATTCTGTACTTATAAATCTAATTATAAATTACAAGTCCAGGGGCGCCTGGGTGGCTCAGTCAGTTCAGCATCTGACTCTTGATTTCGGCTCAGGTCATGATCTCAGGGTCATCAGATTGAGCCCTGCATGGGGCTGTGCACTGGGTGTGGAACCTGCTTAAGATTCTCTCTTCCTGGGGCACCTGGGTGGCTCAGTCGTTAAGCGTCTGCCTTCCGCTCAGCTCACAATCCCAGGCTCCTGGGATCAAGCCCCGCATCGGGCTCCCTGCTTGGCAGGAAGCCTGCTTCTCCCTCTCCCACTCCCCCTGCTTGTGTTCCTGCTGTTGCTCTCTCTCTCTGTCAAATAAATAAATAAAATCTTAAAAAAAAAAAAAGATTCTCTCTTCCTCTCCCTCTGCCCCTCCCCTCCCCTCTCTAAAAAATTTACGCATCAGAAAGTACAAAGAACAATTTATATTTATATTTTAGGGATATGTTTAAATTCACGTTATGTGTTCACTTAGCAGACTTGTTTTCTATTGAAAAATCACTGAATACATTTTCAAGACTATGAATATTTTGAATTGTTAAGATTTTATTTATTGCAAGTCAATATTAGTGTCCTCATTTTAAGGAAATCACCTCTTTCTTTTATTGAACTGCAGCTCAAAGAGTCATTCAAAGATATCAAAAAGAAATTCAACAATTTAAAGTTTAATTACACTAAGAAAAATGAAAAAGCTCGGAACCTGAAGGCTCTTAAATATCAAATTCAACAAGTTGATGTGCATGCTGAAAAAATACAGGTAAAGAGAAAGTGTGGATGGTGTGTGTGTGTGTGTGTGTATGCGCGTGTATGCACTACTACAATTATTACAAAGTCAGTTTGCATTTCAATCCTAGATGCCTAACCCTTGGGCTTTTTTGCAGCACTGGGATTCAGAAGGTAGCTTTCTGCTTTTGTAACAGTTCAGTTCCTCATGTAAAATGTGTAAGTTAATTTATATCTTGAGGCAGCTCTAGAATGGATTCTACCAAACCTACCCAGCCTCTCTGCTTCCATTCTTCCTCACAACACACACAGGCACTCATGCACGCACGCACACACATGCGCAAATACACCTTTTATACGCCCCCTTTCCTTTCCTTACACATGCCTATGTCAGGAACTTCCTCCACTGCTCCCAGGCTTTACTACCTCGATTACCACATGAACCAGCTAGATTATTTGAATATCTTTCCCAGGAGACAGTGAGCTTCCTGAAGACAAGAAAATATTTTATTTTATATGATCATTATCTTTTTTTAAATCATAATATCATTCTTGAAATCTGGAATAGGACCTGGTATATAGTGAATATTCTATATGATTTTAATGATGGATCAATAAACTATGTGGAAGAAAACCCATTCTTTCCAAAATACATTTGTGATCATTATGATTTTAATATATTATCATGGAGAAAGCTGCAAAAATTTTCCCCAAGTTTTTCTCTCAATATGTAATCACCAGCTAGCCTCATGAATAAAAATTGAATCTTATTTTTAAAACTATTTCTTTTTTGCACAGGCTTTGAAAAAGAAAATGGAAAAAGTTGAGAACAAAACTTCTGATTCTTTCTTAAATTATCCAAATAATAAAGTTAATGTTCTTTTGGAAGCAATGAAGGATTTGCAAAAACATGTGAATGAGTTTGAGAAAGTTGTGACAGATTACAAGGTGAATTTGGACCTAACTGAACACCTCCAGGAGATGATAGAAGAGGTATCCTCTTCTCGTTGTAATGGTGTCCATATGTAATGTTTTTAAAAATTGTTCTGCTAATTTAAAACAATGCTACTGCAGTTAATTTTGTCATTAAATCTATGCATCATCCCCCTTTTCATGATTATTGCCTTAGGATAATTTCTTAAAGTAGAATTGCTGGACCAAAGCGGATGAATGTTACAAGGTTTGATTGTATTGTCCAGTTGTTCTTCATAAAGATTTTACTAATTTACTCTTACCAGCAACATATGAGAGTTTCTCATTTCTCCATAACTCCATCAACTCAAGATGTTTAACCATCATGGAATTATGCTCACTGCTGGATATCTGTTTAAAATACTCAGAATGACTTATTTATTTCACGGAATTTGAAAATGTTTAGAAAGAAATGTGGTACTGGGATGTTTCAGGTACAAAAATTGTTATTGGTGTTATTTTGTTTTTGTCAAGAGGATAAATGGTAGAGTATGCATAAACTATATGAGATTTGACAAGTTATTATTTGCACACTTCATATTGAAGAAATTCCACACTTGGAAGTTCTTTATGGCCCATTATTCTGTGATACAAAATGTCTCTTTGCCACAGATGCAGCAGTTTTTAGATTTAACACCACACTAAGAAAGATGAAGATGATCATTCTTCTATATCTGATCTATAGGTTTGCTGTGGCCCTGTGGCACTTTTTTAAAGCCGGCTCCTAACAGAGTCATGTGTTTCTATTTCTCACTCATCATAATTGCTCTGGCCTTGGTCAGACACATTCCTTCCATCACAGTTATTTAGTATTTTTGGTGAGAAACTGTCTCAATTATCCACTGTGCTTTGAAAATATGACTTGAGTACCTTCTATTAAAAAAAAAAAGGTCAAATGCTGTTCTTTAGATGATACTTCCTCAACCCATAAACTAAATCTCATTCTTAAAAGAGAATTTCTTTATTAGAGTGTTAATCAGGAAGTACTTTATCCATGTATTGTTAATTATTTCAATTATTTAGGCAGGATTTTGTATGTTTGGGCTTTTTTCTTTACTTTTAGCTGATACTTTAATTCTTTTTCGGGTCATATGCTTTTTATATTTCCTGTTCTTGTAAGTCTGCAAGGTTCTTAGGAAGTCTATTTCAGGCAAATCTAAGAAGGCAGGAAAATCAAATGAATTTCCATACCTTTATTTTCTTATCTAACTCTAATACCCTAGTGCAGAAGCCTATGATCATATTTTGACATTTCCTTGTTATGACTTAGAAAGTTCAAACTAATGTGACTATAAAGTTTGAGGAAATTGAAATTTGATACTTCAATGGTCAAAATGAAGAACTTTAGAAGGATGGTGTCGCTTTAATCTATGCTTTATCCCATTTTAATTTAGTGTCACTTTTGGTGTGAAGATGCAAGTGCCACAGTTGTAAGAGTTGGAAAATATTCCACAGAGTGCAAGACAAAGGAAGCTGTGGAAATTCTCCACCAGCAGTTCAATAAGTATATCGGGCCCTCAGTGCCTCAGCAAGAAGAAAGGATTCAGGAGATCAGTGACCTAGCTCAGCGCTTATATGGTGAGGTCTCTTTTAAAATATCCAGCAATTTGCCATTGAACAAATCTATAGCAAACCTAATCCATCAGAAAGCAGAGCATGGCAAGCCCTCAGGGTCCTCACTACAGCAATTATTCAGGCAAGAGACTCAAGATAAGAGCCCATATCTATAAAAGTAAACAATAGGGAATAGGGGAAGGAGCTTCTACCTGCAGCAGAGGAAGACTTTGGATTTTAACTATCTTGTGTAAACCCTCCTTCTCTACTCTCTTTTCTCCCCTATTCCTGTTGATCATCCCCAGGGTAATAAAACCAGAACAATACTCAGTTTATGTAGACAAAAAAAAAAAAAAAAAATCTCATTTTCACGAGGGTGATTTCTTGAAAAACATGCAAAACTCCCATAATACTTTAAGTGGATGTTAAGCTAAGATTGACGTCTACATGGTTTGTGGATTTAAGAAACAAGATGGTTTGGTTAGTGTATTTAAGGAACCATTCCCTTGCCTTCCTCTCCCTTGTGGAATAAACAGAAGAACTCAAATTATCATCTCTCTGGTTCTGCTTTTCTCTTCTCCATGACCAGGAAAGATAATACACTTGTCAGTCTCAAGAGTCTTTCTATCTAAAAGAAGCCGTCTGGGTGATGACAGCTCATGGGGTTGCTGAGGAATAAGTTTCACGAATCCCCTGATATCATTCCTGTAGACCACAGGTAGTTCCTGGTGGCCAGGCAAATCTAGCTCAGAAAGAAGATAGCAACAGGAGGCACAAAATGCTTCAGCTGGCTTGCCCACATTGCTGCCAGGTGGATATTTTCTCACATGCCATAAAATGCTATGTATGGGTAGCTATAAAAATGTGTAGAACCATATATACTGTACTACCTAATATTAAATTATTGATAATAAATTATTAATGCTTTTCCAAGGGAAAAAATAGAAACATAAAAATAATAAAATATAGATTGAAAAATTAATGAAAATGAATGTGATGTCTCATTCCTACTGTAGTTACTTATAAGTGCACTAAAAAATTGTGAATGCCCTCTGCCTCCACAGCATCGTATGTGGTTCCCTCTATTTTTGTACTTTCCAAACTGTAGCAAAATTACCTGTTCATCTATCTTCTCTATTGACCATAAGCTCCTTGAGGGCAAGGGAAGCATGTTTTGTCACTGTTTTTGAGTGCCTATTCAATTTCAGGACACAGTAAGTACTCACAAAGACCAGATACTAGTTAAATTCCCCTCCCTTCATGCATATCCTGCATCCTGCTTTGTCTGTGTTCTTGGCCCTTATCACCAACTGACAGATTGTATAGTTATTTGTCTGTTGTCTGGCTTTTACACCAGAGTGTAAGCTCCATGGGAGAAGGGATTTTGCCTGTTAGTTTACTGCTTCATGATACATACTAAGTGCTTAACAAATATGTGATGAACAAATGAATCATAGACTGAATACCTTGGACAAATAAATAAAAGTCATGAATCTTCATCTGCTCAGTATGGAAGCTATGCAATTTTTAAAATTTGCAATAAGTAAGAAGCTTTAGGAATATTATATTGACTCTTACAGGCCACCCAAGCATCCTTGGACCCAGAATTGTCATGCAAATAAATTTATCTCAAAAAAATTTTTTGAGTACCTATTATGTATGAGGAGGTGTGATTGATATAAAGACAAATAAAACTTAGTTCCTTCATTCAAGAATCCACAGCCTAGGCCTAGAAGTCATGTTACAGTAAAGGCAGTAAGAAAGGTATGAAAGTGTGTATTGGTTTACTAGGGTTAACATCACAAAATACCACAGACTGGGCGGCTGAAGCAAGAGAAATTCATTTCCTCACAGTTCTGGAGGCTGGAAGTCCAAGATCACAAGATCACAGTGCTGACAGGGTTGGTGTCGCCTGAGGCTTTTCTCCCTGGCTGGCAGCTGGCTGCCTTCTTGCGGCCTTTTCACTCAGGCATCCCTCTGTGCACACGCTCACCCTGGTGTCTCTCCCTCATCTTATACCGGTGGGATCCAGTCATACTGCATTAGGGCCCCATCCTCACGGCCTCATTTTAACTTAATCACCTCTTTAGAGATCTTATCTCCAAATGTGGTAACATTCTGAGATACTGGGGATTGAGGCTTCAACATAGGAGTTCTGGAGGAGACACAATTCAGCCCGTAAAAATGTGAAATATCGCTTAGTTTAAACCATGGAGTCTGTAATCCCTGTTTCAAATCCCTGCTCCTGCAGTTACTGTCTGGGTAACCTGAAGACGCTCCCTGAGCCTCAGTTGCCTCATTTGTAAAATGCAATAGAGCCTAGAGAATCCCAGGAGAATTACATTAATGCATATAAAGTGCTTAGCCATAGTCAAATAATAAGTACTCACTACCTGGTAGCTGTTTTTATTATTATTCCAGTAGAGAGAGGTAAAATCTACGTGGGCAAGATAAAGAACATGTCACAAAGATACTGGTATTTGAAGTAGACAGGAGGGAGTGAGGGAAAGGCATTCCTGTTACAGGATAGAATATTCAGTGGCTGTGGGGAAGAGTCGCTGGTGCACTTTGACCAGAGACTAAATATGTGAGGGAACTATGGTGACATACATTTGGGAGAAGCACCTTGAGACCATTTCTGAATGCATAAATAAAGAATTGACAATGTTCTGAACAGGAAATGACTGATTAGAGTGGTGCTTTAAGAATATTAACATAGCAACATGATTTAGGTCACATAAAAGTGACAAGGTATAGCAAATGTAACCATTTTTCTGGGGTACCTGTTTTTTCAAAAAATGCCTTCATTCATTCATTTATCTACTTAACAAATATTGATTAAGCACTTACTGTCTACCAGCCTTTACACCAGACACTGGGGAGGTGAATTAATACCTGGGATTTTTTTTTTTTTTCTGCTAGGGATTTGACCTCAAAAATAGTTTTTTGTCCCTTCTCCTCCCCAGGTTTTGAAGAAGGGCAGAAATACGCTGAGAAAATAGTGGCAAAACACAAAGAGGTTCTTGAATCTATCACTGAATTATGTGTCTCTCTCACAGAGCTTGAAGAAAAGTTGAAGGTAATTTCTTCTTCCCAGAATATGTATTTTCAAGTGATATAAATAAAAATGTGTTGATAAGTGTCTTCTAGTGCAAAGATGTTCTAATAGAAATTCTCAAGGGACATAATGTGCACATTTGTTTCACAGCTTTCTAACATAATTATCTGGGTGTTTCTGATAATTAATTCTGTTTCTTTTCCATCACTGCAGAGAAAAATATTGCTGGGAAGGAGGGCTAAACACAATTAAGGTGTCTCATTTACATTTTCATGGATCACATCCTAAAGGATAAATGTGTGCCATTAAAATCAAAGTAAAGTCTGTGTTAAGTAGCCTTATGTTTTCATTCCCAAATAATAAATGGAAGGGTTTTTTTTTTTTTCCTTCCAAATTGTGGCCCCAGAGAAAATAAAACTAAATCTTCAGGTATTATATTCATTGAATATTTAGCTTCATGGAAGTATTAAACTAATCATTAGCATCCTTCATGAAATAAAAAGTAGATGGAATAAAGAATAGAGAGAAAGTATGTTGATGCCTAATGCCTAGGCAAATCCAGTTAAAAGAGAGAAATGCATATATTGTTTTGTCCGTATTTTGTGAAAACTAGCTTCATTAGTACTGTTTTAATGACTGGCTGAAAGAATTGGTTACTTAGGAGGGAGAGAATAACGAGGTGATTAAGAACATAGAGTAAAACACAGAGTAAAATACAGCTGCCTAGGAATACCAGTTCTCCAAATTACTGGATTTGTGATTTGGGGTAAATTACTTCATCTCTTTGCGTCTCAGTTTCTTGATCTGTACAATGGAGTGAATAGGGGAACCTAATCATAGAGTAACCCCAGGAATTGAAATGTGAAGACACCCATAATTATTGTGATCATTGTTGATATCGAGACATAAGGGTGCTCTTGTAGTTCAGAGCAGAATTATATTTCTAGCAATCATTTTTTCTGTATGAATTTACATGTCATAAATTTGAGTACTCAGTCCATTCAAAATAGTTTGCTAAGCTTTTAATTGAGTGAGTGACCAACTAGATTATCTTTATTCCTTAAGAAACTAGATTTTCAACTTTTTTACCATTTTATATAACACTGCAATGAACATCTTCACACATAAAGATTTTTTTTTTTTTCTCTTGTATTGTTCCCTATACATAAACTCTCCAGAGCAGATTTGGGTAAATGAGCATGAAGTTGTTAATGTTTCTAACATACATATGTTAAATTACATTCCACAAACATTTTACAATTTTAATGCCACCAGTAATGTATGAATGTGCCATATGCATATTATCTTTTTAAACAATGATCATTTCTTCTCCACCTCAAACCAACCCTCTAAGGATCTGTTTCTTCTCCTGACTTCCAGTACACAGCTTGAAAATTGCTGCTTCCTCTGACTCTTTGCTCTTTATTATCTACAACAGCCTTCCCATTTCTGTTGTACATCTTCAAGTGAGGTCCACTTAACAAAATTTACCCTTATCTCTGTCTGCTTTTCACCTCATGACTATTCTTTCTGAAAGCACTTGCCACTCCCTCTGCCCACTTCCTCATTCCCCATTCCTTTTACACCCATTAGTCAGGATTGCACCCTCTTTTCCTCATTTTCAACCCATCACTTGGATTCCCTTTTGTACTAGTCAGGAGCCTCCTAATTATACACTCCAGCTAGATGAACCTTCCTAAATACAGCTGCTAGTATCGTTTTTACATTCAAAGCACTTCACTACAAGCTCTTCACTGCTTACCAAAAACAGTTGAAAATCAAGGCCTTTTTCCATTGTTCTGAGGCTGAGTCTTTCCAAATTAGTGTTCTTCTGTATTCATTGTAGGTCCCTGTCTCACTGGTGTACTACCCCAGATTCCTGAATTTTCTGCTTCTAAACCTTCATGTACATGACCTTCTCTCTCTGCTTATCTAAATTTCACCATCTCTCAAAGCCAAACCCAAATGTTGCCTCCTTCACAACTCCTTTGCAGGCTGTGTCCCTGCCTCTCTGATCCCCCAGAGCACTTGTGTTCTTTCCTACTATAATCATCACATGTAACTACCATCACTACCCTAACTCATCTACTTGACTACACCTGAGGAAACCCTATGGCTCTGTTCAGTTTAGGGTCCCACACAACATTTAACATTGTGCTTTGCCCAAACCAATTTCTCCAGAAAGAGTTTTGGCATTTGTAGTAAAAACTCAAATGATTGGTACAGAGAAGAAGAATCATTCAGTAGCTCAAAAAGGTTTGATTTGGGTGGATATAAAAACAAGGAAGGGCCTCTCTGGCAATAGTTATGGGCATCAGCAAGGCTCTTACAAGTTAGAGCCTGAACAAAACTTGTCAAAGAATGCTTACTAACACAGCATAAATGTCTAGTTTTTATGTTTTAAGGTTGATGCTATGGCTATTTTGTAGGGGTTATTAAAAATAGGCCCAGAAATCCCTATCAAGGCTGAAATAGTGATAATAATCCTTTCTATTTGTATTAACAATTTGAGATTTACAAAGGCTTTTCGTATATATTACTTCAGTGATTTCCAAATAACCTTGTGATGGTGATACGGCAAATGTTGTTTTCCTATTTTATTATTTATGAACGGGGCAGGAAGGGCAGAGGGAGAGAAGCACAAGCAGACTCCATGCTGAGTGTGGAGCCCAATGAAGGGCTCCATCTCACAGCCCTGAGATCATGGCCTGAGCTGAAACCAAGAGTCGGATGCTTAACCACCCAGGTTAATGAGCCACTCAGATACCCCATTTTCCTTGTTTTAGAGGTAGAGTTCAAAGAAGGTAAAAGTGCTTTGCCTGGGGTCTCACCATCAGTAATGGTAGAATCTAGAATTAAATACAATTCAAAATCTAGCATTCTTTCCACAACAACTGCCATTTTGAGATTAGATATCAAGAGTACCTTATCCACTAACACCAACCAGCTTATGTTTTAGAGTTAGACTAAAAGCTGAATCTCTCCCCAAATTCTCTGAGTCCATATAGCACATGCACTTTGAGGAGTGTGCTGTTTTCTTAAGGCCCATCTAATGACCATATTCCAGGTGGAATAGAGAATATTCTGATGTGGTATAATCCATCATCCTAAACTTGGTGTACCTGAGGCTCCTTTCACCTTTACAAAGACTTCTCAGCCCTCACAGGGACTCCCCAGCAGCTTGCAAGCCCTTGTACTTCCATGACTAAAACAGCTCCATGAATGATAGAAGCAAAATATCATCACCCACAGGAAGCATCCTTTGTTCTCAATTTTTTTTCTTTACCATACCCAGTGATATTTTCTTCCTCTCTTCAAGTTTCCCAAACATTTGCTTATGCAAATTCTCTGGATTTCCTTTTTGTTCTCCACCAAAATCTTCAAACATTTCTTCCTTAGCACTGGTCCCCTAGACTCTCCTGATGGCTTAGACTGCCATGTACAATGATTCCTTTATCTAGAGAATGCTCCTGTAGGTATATCCTACTGCAATAATGACTTTGTTCTGGCTGGGCCTTTGAACAACCCATTTTTACTGGCAATGAATTTTATCAAAGGAGTGAGGTAGATGGGGAACTGTGAGCTTGACAAGATAATTTTGTAAATCACATCATGGGAGTAGTCAGTCTCTTGTGGAATACATTTCCTGAAGGGTTCCAACTGGTCTATGTTTTCTTCCAAGTGGTTATTGTGTAGCACTGTACCTCCAACTTTCCTGGCCCAGGCTCTCACTTTAAACATTGCTTTGTACAGCAGGGAGACATTTTAAAGACAAATGTGAATTTAGAAGACTTCATCAACCTGCTAAAAGAACCAGCAAGAAATAAGCAGACACTATTCAATGAAGAAAGGAATAAGGTAAAGAAAACTGTGTAATCTCAGTTATTCATTTTGTTTTGAGGTTAGAGTCCTTGTTCATTGAAAAAAAAAAGGGAATTAAAGCCTTGTTATCTACCTAAATCAAATCTTTCAATATACATGCAACGTGAGTGTCCTTATCCTGTACTTCCTTTCTACCCCTTACTTAGTCCTTCTTCTTCCACCTATGCTATTTTCCTCTGAGCGCTTCCTATTTAATAGTGGGACCAAGCATTGCACAATGGTATTGGGATAACCATTCAGTCACCATACTGTCACTCCAAACCACTTCTATTTCTCCCACCATTAGCTGCCTCTCCCATTTTCCTTTTATAGTCAATCCCAACTTCAAATTTGACTTCTCTCTATCATACCACCAAGCTATGGTTCTGAAGTTTTACACTACCCACTGGAAAACCTTAATACATGAAATTAGCTTGTGTCTTATTCCACCAAAGCTATCTCTAAGATGATATTTCCAGGTACATATACTAAAACATAGAATCCAACTGAAATATAAATACTAAAGTAGAGAAATATTTAAATTACTTTAAAATCTATGTATTACAGATAAATTAAGCATGTAGCAAAAACTGCAAATATTCACAAAATGCAAATGTTCCATGATTTCAAAAGCATTATTTAAATCACATCATTATGGATTTTCAGTATAAGTTGCTCACTCTCTATTCATAGCTGCTGGACTATAATTAGCTCCTATCTTTTTGCTTTGCCAAGTTTGCTTCTAGTGTTTCTCTTTCTCCCAAGGAACTGAAGGAACAAACAGAGTCAACATTATTCTCAACTGCCCCCAAATTAATAAAGTATACTTCTTGTGACATGAGAATTTAAAATAAATATCTCCCCACTTTCTTATAGAGAAAAATTTCTTTCCTTGAAGTCAGTACAATTCTTAGATCATCTATATAATCTTTTATAATCTTTTCCACAGGTTAAATCTATGTCAAGGTCTACTGCAATTATACAATCTCCAGGCAGCAAGTATCATTATGCAAACTGGCTTTTTTGTGGTATGGTCTTGAAGCATTTAAGCCCTGATTCTACTCTGAGGCAAAGGAAGGTGGCCAAACCTTGATCACTTTGTTGAATCTTAGTCTTATATCAAATGGTCTTTCATTATTGTGATTGGTCTATCAGTGTTTATCAATCTCAGTATATTGACATTTTGGCGCAGAAAATTCTTTGTTGTGGAGTGCTGTCTTGTGCATTATAGGATATTTAGCAACATTACTGGCCTTTATCAACTAGATGCCAATGGCACTCCCCCCCACAACTCACCCAGTTGTCATAACCAAACAACATCCATGGACATTGCCAAATGTTCCCTGGGGAGCAAAATCACCCTTGATTGAGACCAACTAGTTGAAATAGTAAAGAATAACATTCAATGCATCACATTTTCTTAACTAGGTTTCTTTCTTCTTTTTTTTTTCTAAGACTTTATTTATTTATTTATTTATTTTAAGATTTTATTTATTTATTCATTAGAGACAGAGAGAGAGAGGCAGAGGGAGAAGCAGGCTCCCCGCCTAGCAGGGAGCCCAATGCGGGACTCGATCCCAGGACCCTGGGATCATGACCTGAGCCGAAGGCAGACGCTTAACCATCTGAGCCACCCAGGCGCCCAAGACTTTATTTATTTGAGAGAGAGCAAGTGAGAGAGAGAGCACAAGCAGCAGGGAGTGGCAGAGGGAGAGGGAGAAACAGTCTTCCCACTGAGTAGGGAGCCTGATCTGAGGCTCGTTCTCAGGACCCTGGGATCATAACCTGAGCCAAAGGCAGACACTTAACCTACCGAGCCACCCACATGCCCCTTCTTAACTAGGTTTCTAAGAGATACTAAATTCAACTTATTTTTTAAATTCTGCACATTGTCCACACTGTCAACCACACTAATTTACTAAGAATTGAAGTGAAGGTCAATGATACCAAAGCAAACACACTCATTTATACTTAGTAAATATGGATTTTCTTTCTTTTATTTATTTTTCTTAGAAAAAAATTAAAGGAACAGATTTCTTTAAATAAAAAAGCAAGATTTATTTTCATTGAGAAATCAATTATTTATTTATTTATTTATTTATTTGAGAGAGGAGAGAGAGAAACAGCATGAGAGGGGAGAGGGTCAGAGGGAGAAGCAGGCTCCCCACCGAGTCAGGAGCCCGATGTGGGACTCGATCCCAGGATTCCGGAATCATGACCTGAGCTGAAGGCAGTCGCTTAACCAACTGAGCCACCCAGGCACCTGAGAAATCAATTTTATTTTAATATGAATTAAAAGGTTATCTGTTTGTAGTATAAAAGTAAAGGACCACAATTATAGCTGTAAAAAACTCTCACTGACATCATTTACATATACATTCTGGTACAGTTGGCACAGAGAGCAAAATGAAAGGGTGGCAGTAATCTTCCCTTTAAACAGCTCAATAATGTTTACCATTTTATTATCTCTATCATTTATATTATGGGTCAGATGTAATGATTTCCCAAAAACCATGTGGACAGATAACAAAAATCACCAAGTTAAAAAAAAAAAGCTTATCTGGGAATCATTGTGTCCAATTCTGTGTCCAATCCAAATGGTGTTGATCGTTCTTGGAAAGTTATTTGACTCAGAAAGAACAATTCCAGAAGTGTTTGGTCAGAGGAAGATGGCAGTGGAGTAGGAGGGCCCTTGACTCCTCTTGTCCCACAAACACAACTAGATAACTATCAAATCATCCTAAATATCCCAGAAATCAACCTGAAGACAGACAGAACAAACTCTACAACTAAAGGGAGAGAAGAGGCCATATCAAAGAAGGTAGGAAGTATGAAGATGTGGTTTAAGGAAGAAACAGATCACAGATGCTGTGGATGCGAAGAAAGGTGAGAGAGGAGCACAAGGAGAACATTTCCCCAAAGACATTGGCTTGGAAAACAAGGGGCTGAATTTTGTGAGTTCTTGCAACCAGCAGGGCTTAAAATCTGGAGTCTTAAAGGTCAGCAGGCTTGGCTGGGATAGAACCCAGAGGGCACTGCCCTGCTCTTAGAGAGAAGGCAGGCAAACAACATAGGGACAGACAGCATGGAAACAGCAATCTGAAGAACGCCTGGGGCACACAGTGGGGAGATTATTCACTCTTCTTGGAGTGGAGTGCATTCCTGAGAGGCAGTGTTTATGGAAATGCCTCTCCGGGAACAAAGAAGCTGAAAATGACACCATTTTCCTCCCTCACCCTGTCTATGGGAAGCAGTGCAGTGCCAACACTAGCTGCCTAACTTGCTTACACCAAGGCCCACACCCCTATGCTCTGACGGGGCTGCCCCTCTCAATCAAGCTTGCCTCAGTCCTAGCACAGCAGCCCCTCCCCTGAACACTAGTACAAACCTCTGCCCACACCATGTCTCCTGACCAGAGAGTTCTTCAGGGCCTCGGTTCTGGTGGAGGTGGTGTCTGATCTCATTTCACAAGCAGACCAGAGCACATGTAGTTAAAACTCACCACATGCAGGCAGAGAACCAAACACTGCCCACAGCAGGCAAGAGAGCCTCTCCAGATGACTAGCCTGAAGGACAGAGCAGCCAAAACACAAGAGCAGAGCACATGTAGCACACACCAGAGACACTCCCTGAAGTGTCAGGCACTGGGCACTACATGACTTCTTCTTCATTAGGCCATTACTTTCAGGAGCAGGAGACATAACTGGCTTTTCTAACACAGAGAAGAAGGCAGAGACTTAGACAAAATATGAAGATGTCAGAATTTATCGCAAATGAAAAAACAAGATAAGGCCATGGCCAGAGATCTAGTAAAACAGATACAAGTAACATGCCTGATGGAAAATTTAAAGCAACAATCATAAGGATACTCGTAGGACTTGAGAAAAGAATAGAGGTCATCAGTGAGACCCTTCACAGAGAAAAGAGTTAAAAAAGAATCAGTTAGAGGTGAAGAGCACAATAAATGGAATTGGAAAGATGCTCGATGTAATGAACAGCAGGCTGGAAGAAGCAGAGGAATGAATTAGTGACCTAGAAGACAAAATACTGCAAAATAATGAAGCTGAACAAAAGAGAGAAAGAGAATTATGCAACACAAGAATAGGCTTAAGGAACTCAGTGACTCCATCAAACATAATAACATTCATATTATAGGAATCCCAGGAGAAGAAAGAGAAAAGGGGGAAGAAAATTTATTGGAAGAAATAATAGTGGGGCACCTGGGTGGCTCAGCCAATTAAGTGTCTGCCTTCGGCTCAGGTCATGATCCCAGAGTCCTGGGACTGAGCCCCATGTTGAGTTCCCTGCTCAGTAGGAGCCTGCTTCTCCCTCTCGCTCTGCCCCTCCTCCCCACTTGTGCTCTCTCACTCTCAAATAAATAATCTTAAAAAAAAAAAAAGAAATAATAGCTGAAAACTTCCCTAATCTGGGGATGGAAACAGATACCCAGATCAAGGAGGCACAGAGAACTCCTATCAAAATCAGCAAAAGAAGGCCAACACCAAGACATTTGCCACTAAATTTGCAAAATATAGCAACAAAGAAACAATCTTAAAAGCAGCAAGACAAAAGAAGTCCTTAACTTACAAGGGTAAACCCATAAGGCTAGCTGGAGATTTCTCAACAGAAAATGACAAGCCAGTAGAGAGTGGCATGATATATTCAGCATGCTGAATGGGAAAAATCTGCAGCCAAGAATATTCTGTCCAGCAAGGCTATCATTCAGAATAGAAGGAGAGATAAAGAGTTTCCCAAACAAAAACTAAAGAAGTTCATGACCCTAAACCAGCCCTGCAAGAAATATTAAAGGGGACTCTTTGATGCAAAGAAGAGACCAAAAATGACAAAGACGAGAAAGGATCAGAGAAAATCTCCAGAAGCGGTGAAAAAACAAATAATAAAATGGCAATAAATACATATCAATAATTACTTTGAATAAATGGGCTAAACCCTCTGATCAAAACACATAGGGTATCAGAATGGATCAAAAAAAAACCACAAAAAAACCCGACCCATTGTATGCTGCCTTCAAGAGACTCATTTTAGACCTAAAGACACCTGCAGATTGAAAATGAGGGGATGGAGAAACATTTATCATGCAAATGGATGTCAAAAGAAAGCCAGAGTAGCAATATTTATCAGACAAGCTAGACTTTAAAACAAACACTGTAGCAAGAGACAAAGAAGGATACTATATAATCATAAAGGGGACAATCCAATAAGAAGATATAACAATTGTAAATATTTATGCATCCAACATGGGAGCACCCAAATATATAAAACAATTAATAATGAATATAAAGGAATTGATAATCATACAAGAATAGTAGGGGACTTTAACACCCCACTTATATCAATGGAAAGATTACCTAAACAGAAAATAAACAAGGAAACAATGCCTTTGAATGACACACTGGACCTGATGGACTTAGCAGATATATTCAGAACATTCCATCCTAAAATAGCAGAATACACATTATTATCAAGTGCGCATGAAGCCTTCTCCAGAACAGATCACATATTAGGTCATAAAACAGGCCTCAACAAATACAAAAAGGTTGAAAGCATACCACTTTTTCTGCCCACAATGCTATGAAGCTGGAAGTCAATCATAAGAAAAAATTCTGAAAGACCACAAGTACATGGAGGTTAAACAACATCCTACTAAACAATGAATGGGTCAACCAGGAGAAGAAATTAAAAAAAAAATACATGGAAACAAATGAAAAGGAAAAAACAACAGTCCAAACTTTTAGGACGCAGCAAAAGTGGTCCTAAGAGAGCAGTATATAGCAATACATGCCTACTTCAAGAAGCAAGAAAAATTTCAAATAAACAACCTAACCTTACGCTTAAAGGAGCTAGAAAAAGAATGGATGACCCTCAAATCAACAAATGTCCCTGCTGTGAAGGAGCTTATAGCGCAGTAGGAGTGGGACTTCCCAAAAGGTGACCAGAATGATAAAAGTCCTAGAGTCAAGGCAGAAGAAGACCTGGAGGTTTTAGTTCAATGAAAGAGACTGAGAGGTTGTGGCACCAATTCTCCAAATAGTCAAAAGGCTGTTAGAAGAGGAGAGCAGTTCAACATCTATGCCGCTCTGGGAGGCCAATTCAGATCCATTGTTGGATACTGAGTGAAGGCCTATCTTCACTAAAGAGAGGAAGAAATTCTTAATACAGGTAAAGCATAAAATTCTTTTCAAAGAAAGCACCCTTTCGGGAAGGGTGGCTACCAGAATGTCATAGAGGAGATTACCTGGACTGAACAGGAAGTTGGATCAAAGTCCCTATGAAAAGGAAAATAAAGGCAGAGCTGAGCCGAAGTAGGAAAACCAAAAGAATGAGGGGCATTTCCTATTGTCTATGTGTTTATTTAGTAATTTTTTTTTAATGACAAGGACTTTTAAAAACTTTTGGCTTGTTTTTAGACCTAGAGTTTAAACTTCTACTAAACTGGGGTGCCTGGGTGGCTCAGTCGTTAAGCGTCTGCCAGGGTCCTGGGATCGAGCCCCGCATCGGGCTCCATGCTCTTCCATTCCCCCTGCTTGTGTTCCTGCTCTCACTATCTCTGTCTGTCAAATAAATAAATAAAATCTTTAAAAAAAAATAAACTTCTACTAAATGGCTGAAGGAAACCACTTTCTCTAAAGCCATGCTTATACTTTCTCTGAGGATAATTTGTATCTCTGCGGGGGCGGGGGGCGGGGTGTAGAAGGAACATTGTTTTGTTTTTGCTTCTGATCTTCAACCTGAAAACACATTTATTTCTCAAAAATTATTTATAAAGTATGTGTCAGGGGCAGGACTATGAGCTAAAATGAAGAACTCAAAATCAAGGCAAGACCTAACTTTCTTGTGTGCAAGCAGTAGCAAAGGGACAAAACCTGGTAATTGCTAAGTAAGTAAAAATGCACCCAAATACTGAAGACAGGCAAAAAAAAAAAAAGTAGATATAAAACAACTGGTTCAGATAGATGAGATCCTTTTCAGCTTCAATGCTTTTGAGTCTATGCCAGAAGGGATATTTGAGCATCAAAGTACTGCTGTTCATGGTCTCCTAGCATGACCTGCACTCCACATGGCATGGAAAGATAAGTGGCAGATTTTCCTTTTATATCTTGTGTGCTCTTGTGACAGACTGTAACGTGTGATTGTCCCATTAATATCTACCTCTCCCACTAGGCTGTTATCTCCCCGAGGGCAGAGACTGGGTTTACTTTTACTCATTTCATCTCACCAATGCCTGGCATGGTACCTAGTATGAAACAGGTGTTCAATAGATACTTTTTCATGGAAGAATAAAAATAAGGGGCTTTAAGAAAATAAAACCAGTCATGAAAAATGGCTTTTTCCATATGAAGTAAATAGAGTTGTCAAATTCATAAAGACAGGAAGTAGGAGGGGCTGGTGAGAGGGGAGAATGGGGAATTTAGTGTTTAATGGGTACAGAGTTTCAGTCTGGAAAGATGGAAAAGTTCTGGAGATGGATAATGGATGGTTGCACCAATGTGAGTGTACTTAATGTCTTTGAACTATACACTTAAAAATGGTTAAAATGGTAAATTTCGTGTTGTATATATTTTACCACCTATAATGATAATAATAAAGAATGGCTTTCCTAAGAAAAAAAGAGAGGTTATTCTTAGGAGGGTCCAAGGGATCGCCTAACAAGGGAGCCTCTGAGATTTAGGAATTATGCGTCCCCATGGAGTGTAGACAAATAAAACAAAGCAGAATTTGCGGGTAGGAGGAGATTCCTCAGATCATGATTTGGAAGACATTGATCCATTTCAACACGCTCATTAGAGATGAAAACTAGGGCTTTCTCGCCTCTGTTTCGCAAGGTCTATCACATTTCATTCAGAGCCTGGAGGTCAGTTTACCAGTTCCTTAGGCATGGCATGGGACTGGGCCCAGGTTCAACAGACCGATGGTATCAAGTTCTGTACTGCTCGTGCTGGTGCCCCAACCTTCACTCACTGTAGTTTTTCTCAGATTGTCTGTCTGAAGGAGTTTGAGACCTGGAAAAAGCAAACGCAGTGACTAACCCAAAGCTTTGGCTTTTCTGTTCTGAAGGCACAGGTAGCAGGTGTTTGGGCCATCAGTGGAACAGGAGAGGGTCAGCGTCCCCCGCACCTGAAGCAGCCGCCCTGTGACAGAGAGGGTGCTGTCCAAGGCCGGCTCCCGCCTGCAGACATACTTTCAGGAGAAGAATATGAATGTGTCTCACCTGATGACATCTCCTTGCCTCCACTCTCGGGAAGCCCCGATTCCCCCCTTGCCCTGGCTGCCATGGACGTGGAGCAGCATGCCAGCCCTGCCCTCAGCCTTCACACGAGCAGCTACAGGATGCAGACTGGGGCCAGCAGTGCAGGGGAGGCCCAAGAATCGGGCATTCCACCACCTGCTGCTTTGGCTGATGCTTACAGTGATAACAGAGAAACATTTTCAAGTCATTTTGAGAGGCCGTACCCCCAGTCCAAAGCTGAGCTCCCATTAACCTCCCGAGGATTTCTGGAAAAAAGTACTGCCTTCTGCAAAATCAGTGCTAAACATCCAGAGAGCATGCCGAGTGAAGTGCATGAGAGAGCTTCACAGCAGCACCCTCAGGCTCAGGGAAGTTTGCTAGAAACACGGGAGAAAGTGCATGTTGATAATAACATCACTAAAACCCGAGACAGGCTGCATGCTTCCCAGGATGCATTCTCAGGCCTTGGGCTTCGATCAGGCCCCAGCCGGGCCTATCAGAGGCAAACAGTCCCCCAAGAGGAGATTAAATGTACATCAGCAAAGAACACGGTGGTCAGCCTCACTGGCCAGGCTCCTAATTTCTCCAGGCTCCTGTCTAATGTAACTGTCATGGAAGGTTCTCCAGTGACTTTGGAAGTTGAAGTAACAGGATTTCCAGAGCCTACACTGACATGGTGGGTAGCTTATAATGACAAGTCATAAACACACTGAATGACTGAGCAAATCATTCTGTGTGCACTAACTTAAAGGTGTAGGGATAGCTGATTAATATTCTGCAACACTGCAACTCTGCATGATTCAACCTCACACCAACCCCCAACTCTCCCTGTAGGCACAGCATGTCTAATACCCAGAAGAACCAAAAGGAACCACATAAAATAATAACTTAACCAACTCCAAAAGCACTGCAACTTAGCTGTGCTCTTTTGTGGAGTTTTTTGTTTTGTTTTATTTTTGCCATTAGTTTAACATTCCACATTTCTGAAGATTGTGGGTTGAAATTGTTTCCTATTGCTTATTTCCACATAAGCATGACATTTCTTAGCTTAATATCCCATATTCGATTAATAAACATAAGAATTTAGGTTTTCCCCTTTTCTTTCATTTAGCCATTTCATCTTTTCCCTCTTCCCAACAGAGTCACACATCACTTTTGTAATATTTGTTTGTTTCACTAAGATTTCTTTCTATAAATTTCTTCAGTGTGAAAGATGGAATAAAAATATTTCTTTCACAGTTGCTCCCAGTGACAGGTAATAAACCCATTTTTGAAAGGTGGTGTAATAACTGAGCTGTGAACAATAGGATTTCCTTCTGGAGATATCATTATTTTTTAGCATATTTGTTTTAATAGAAAGTAAACTGCAGAATACAGGTTTTGAATCACTGTTGTTTTAAAAGTAGTTCTCACTTTCTCACTACATGGGTGACTTCTAAACATTTAGAAATTTTTCATCTGTAAGTATATTTATCTGAGGACAAAGTTACAAATTTGTGAGACTGAATTCATACTCATAAACTAAGATAAGTAAAACAGCATTTACTTATCATAGTATTTCAGTAGACATTACATTAACAGTTTCAACTATTATGCGTGCCCACTGATGATACTTGAAGTGTGAGTTGGTTATCTAAAGAATCTATGAGAAAACTCTGGTCTCTCAGATGATGAAAAGAGACTACACTTGTGATACAGTGCAGCCATTCATGCTTTTGTCTTATTGTTTTTAAAATTGCATGTTTTTTTAATAGATCAGGAATTTCATATTTATGAATTTAAAAAAATATTTAATTCATTATTAAATATCAGTTCATCCCAAAGAAAAATGTTGTCTGCAGTGTTTCTTGGTTTTGTCTACACAACAAATAACTTGGTTAGCATTTATTGTTGAAGAATTATCATAATATTGTGAAAAAATACCTTGCTTTTGGATTTACAATGGTTTTGCTCAATTAGCAGCCAGCAAGCTCTTGGAAATAAACATTCTTAGGACACTCATAAAAATGCAAAATTACCACATAGGCAATGGGAACAGAAAATGATTCAGGTTTGTCACCGCTTCTTAGGTGAAGGAACATGGGTATAAACAAACAAGAATCTAGAATATACAAAATAAATTGCTTTCTAAAAAGAGGCAGCTAAGCACTCGTGTTCATAGGAAACTTTTAGAAATATGTCATTAACAGTAATAATCCAATTATATAAATGCCTTTTATAATTATAAATCATTTTCTTCTAATGAAATTAATTCATAAAAATGAACTCATTTCGCCAGGAAATGTTGTATAAGTACCTTCCTCTAAAACAGCATGTTTTTATTCTCACATGGATCTTGTGGGGTGAATATGATGGAGTGGATGAGTCTCACTCCAATATAGATTCTCAGAACTCACAGGCTGCTATTCCATAGCAGCTGAAAGAATGACACAAGCCAAATAGAGGGGTGCCATTTCACACTCTCGGTAATTGTTGCCATAAGCAAATGGTGGCCCTCTGTGACCAGGTGGTTTGGGTTTTTCTTGTGTTTTGTTGTTGTTGTTGTTTGTTTGTTTTAGAGAAAGAGAGAGAGAGGTAGGGGGTGGGGAGGGATAGAGGGAGAGGGAGAAAGAGAATCTTAAGCAGGCTCCAAGCCCAGTGCAGAGCCCCACGTGGGGCTCAATCTCACGACCCTGAGACTGTGACTCGAGCCGAAATCAAGAGTCAGATTCTCAACTGACTGACACAGCCAGGCACCCTGTTTGGGTTTTTTTTTTTTTTTAAAGAATAGTTGGATATCTGAATTTTCACATGCAATATTCCAACTGTTAAATGTTGTCCAAAAATTCAATTTTTTGAAAAATATGGTCTGACCTGATCAAGCACTTCTCAGGCCACAAGTCTCCAACCTCTATTTCAAGGATGGATGAAAGCCCCATTGGAATCTGTGGTAGCTGCAAAGTTCCTGCTAATACTAGAGAGAGAGAGTGCTGCAATGGTAATGGGCTTGTTTGCAATGGTTTTTAGAGCTTAGAAATGATGTGAATATACAGTGATCCTGACTTTAAAACTGACTCTCTGCTTCAGGTACAAGAAGGGCCAGAAATTGTCTGCAGATGGGCACTTAGAGGTTTTACACAAGGAGACAAGACATTTGGTGTTCATTCCGAAGGTATGTGAGGCAGACGCAGGCCTCTATGTGGCTCGGGCCCAAAACTCTAGTGGCATTCTCTCTTCCAATGTCATCCTCCACGTGACAGGTAACCACAGGCCGCCAATCACAAGAATAAACTGGGTAATGCTGTGTGTCATCTACATTAGTGTGTCCCTAATGTACTGGATACTCACACAGTAACTGTGGGGTTGGCGCTCTTGGACGTCATTCTCACGAGTCTAAAGAACAACCCCATGGTTGTTTCTTTTCCTGCATCTCTTACATTTGCCTGCCTCTCTCCACCAAGTGTACCCACATTCTAGTCAGGTGTTTGTTTGGCTAATACCAAACTCAGCAAAATAATCACATTTTCTCTAGTGTTTTAGTATATTTGAGGAACTTGGTAAATTCTTAGCAGTGGATAAGCATACATTTTTGTATTGTAGAAAGAGATGTATTCAATATAAAGCTCAGTAAAATTACACAATGTTTATTCCATCCTCACTTAAGAGCATGTATATCAAGGCTCACATCAGCAGAGAGGTGTGAGTTAAATTTCAAATCCAGTTGTTTGATAATTTATTTTTAATTGTACTCATAAACATCTCTGTAGACTAACAGGAGAAATACTGAAGTGAAGCTATAATTTACCTTATCACATCAGCTGTCCTTTTGTTGCATTTCATGTCTTGATCTCATTTATCGAAATACATTTTATGTAGTTTCAACCTAGACTACCTTCCTAAGTCTGAGGCGGCCACTGTATATAGTCATTCCTTGTTGATCTCACGGGTTTCACCATGGTGAATAGATGTGCTGTCAACTTCAGATGGAATTTCAAACTTCCATCAGCTGCACCTGTCATAGAGCAAAATGGAGCACAGGCTGCAGATGGACCAACATAATTCCTGTCATGTCACGGTCACATTTTGGGCAGCCACATTCATACGATGGCAACCTGTTCCTCCTGCATCTTCTCTTGATTCTGCTGCTGACCATTTTTTGCAGCCTGTGGTAAAGACATCTCAATGCCTTAGTTTCCCATTTGGAAAATGGGTTCATCGTCTACCTCTCGGGCGATTGAGAGTTTTCTTTTCGTGTCTTGTAAAGATTTAGAAAATGGAAAGCGTTCTATGAAGACTGAAGGTAATTATATTGTTTGATGTGACTTATTGTCACACTGCCTTCTGCCCACTATTCTCATTCAGATGATGTTTCTTTAGAATATTAAAGGAGTGGTATTAGTCTGTGATTTCCAACCTTTCCCACGTGGGAAGGTGATGTATATATGAATTGGAACTTAAATTCCTTTCTGATTTCTTAAGATTACATCTTTTTCAAAGACTTGAAATTAAACTTAGGAAGATGCATTTAGTATGATCTAGGGGAAAAAGTATGTAATAAGACAACATAAAGTGAATTCTGTCCTTTTCTTCTAATTATCACTGTAATATTGAAGAATTTTCTATGCATTTCTGAAATATATTATTCAGAAAAGAGGACCTTTTTGGTTCCCTCTAAAAGTAAACATGAATGAGAGAAGCATTTGTTTTTAAATTTTAAACATAGTCTTGTCATGGTAGAGCAAAATCTTTAGTTGAAAGAATAATTTATAATAGATTTCTGATGAAGGGAAGGAATTAATTATATTGCTGTAAGACTATCTACAATAATAAAAATACTTAAAAGTAATATATTCAAATAATGTATAGAATTTGGGTAAACTGTAGTCTTTTAGGGTTCTGAAAACACTCTATTACATTTTGTTGAATTAATGAGTCTGGGAATACCAGGAAAAAAAAGTAATACATTCAAGTTAGTATTAAAAAGCTACTGAATGTTATTTGAAGATATGAAATGTGTGGTTGAGTAAAGTTGACATATTTTTTTCTGTGCATCAATTTACTTAAACAATTAAATCTCTTAATTTTCTTCCAAATTTTGACAGAAACCGATTAAAAGCTTATATATACAACGTCCTAGGGAACTCATAGTCTCTTAAGTCTCCTATCCATTTTGTCCACTTTCACATATTTTACATATCTTGCCTAACTGCTATTCCCATGTTGAAGCTAAATAGTAAAATCTAGTCATGTCCAAAGAGGGCAGGCAGGACCAGGTAAGAAATTCTTGTCTGACCCTCTGTCTCTTTCTTGTTAATTTAGTAAGATCTTCTTTCCCATTTTGTCATCTTGGTTGAATTTGTGGCTAGAGGTTGTTAGGGCATGGGACTTGCTTGTTTGCTTTACATGTTGCATGCCAGTTAAAGGCTAATGGGGAGCATTAGTGGGCAGCAGGGTGAGATATATATATATCCATCCATCCATGGTGTGTGACTAAATAAGGTATAAACCCCAGATGTATTTGATACATATATCAAATATAATATGTATTTGACATATATTAAATATATGTATATACACATATATGCACACACACATAGAGCTCAAATATTGGGAAAAAGGATTATGCTGATATTCTAGATATAGTTCAGCTAGCTATCTGTGTATCAATCTGTCTGTCCAACCATTCATCCATCTATCCATCCATCCATCCATCCATCCATCCATCCATCCATCCATCTGGTCATCTATCCATCCATACATCTATTTGCATACCTATCTACCTACATATTCTTTTGTGCTATCAATTGACTATCTAGTAATTCCCATAGCAGTGAAGAATAATTAGCTATTCAGTTATTCTTCCAGTTATATTTTAATTTCAAAGACTTAAGTGTGATTTTCCTTTTTCTAGGATTTCTGTCTTGATCAAAAAAGTCTCCTTATGAAAGTATGAACTAAAATTATTGATTAAAAATGAAAAACCTAAGCAAATGATGTTTCTTTTTAAAGATATATATATATAGTATATATATATAGTATATATATATAATGGGTATATAATAGTATATATATATATATATATATATATATATATATATATATATATATATACTATTTATACCCATTTTCTTCTAGAGAAAATTCCGGACAGTTAGTAATATCAAAACACTTCTCAACAAGAAAATGTAAATGACAAGGAAGATTAAAAAGAACATGTACTTGACACCTTGAAGGAACGCAACACAAAATGTGTTTTGAGCTTCCTAAAAGGCAAAATTATTGAGCTTTCCAGTTCTGATTTTCTAATAATAAGTGTATAAACATTTGATGGTAAAATTTTTTCACACTCAATTCCAAGAGAAATTTACTGCAGAAATCCTTACATTCGAATCTTTGTGTATGCTAAAATATCTAAAATCTTTGGAAAAAGAAGTCATAGACAATTAGTTATTTTATTCCATAATGCTAACCCTCATTTATAATCAAGATGCAGGCTTAAAATAGATTATTGCAAGAACCTTCTAACCACCTCACTCAAGTTTAAATTTCTTCAAGTGGTACACAAGGCCCTTTAGTACCTGCCCTCCCCTTCTTAATCTCTGTTCCATCCCTTCTGATCCCCCCACAAAATGACATTTTACTTCAGGTTTTTAACCTATTGTGCTCTTTCTTCCCTCTAGTCCTTTCTTCCCAGATTTCCCTTACTATATCCAAACCTATCTTTACGTGGCTTAACTCCTGCATATCCTTCTTGGTCCATTTGAGACACAACTTCCCCCAGGAAGCCTCCTGACCCATCAAGCCCAGTGTAGATATTCTTGCTATGGGCACTGTCAGCACCTGACCTGTCCATGTCATATCCCTTGATATATAGCATTGAAGTTGCATGTTTGAGCATCTGTCTCCTCTGGCTAGAGTGTGAGATATTTAGCAGCAGGATCTGTGACAGCCCTGTTCATCATTATACTCCCAGCACCTAAGCCACAGTCATACTCAATAAATATTTCTTGAATTGTTGTTGGAGGTAAACAAAGATAAACCTAGCTTGTTTTTTTTTTTTTTTCTTTTTCTGGAGAGAGTTAGTGGGGGAATGTAAAAAGAGAAAGATGTATTTGTTACCTGATTATTCTTTCTTATTATGGACATTGGCCAATCAGAATCAGGTTCTAGCCATGAAGTATGTAGGCATACTACAATGACTATGTCCAAAATGCCAAAACCAGAATTTATGTACTTCTTTAGAACACTATACAAATTATCAGTATTTTATTGTAGTAATCAATAATCTTGGTAATCTGGTTGTATCTTATTTGAAACCAGCATTTCATTCATATATGTAAATATTAAAAAAGCCAAATCCAAGAATTTAGATTATTTGATTTTCAAATGAACAAAGGAAGAAATATTGCATCTTGTTCCACTTGTTTTGTTTTTATTTATGACTATTCCATACTAGAAATTGCCATCTGAAGCTTTTGACATTCCTGTTGTGTGTACATTATTTTAAGTGTGACCATGAAATAAGTTATTTGAAACAAAATAAAATATATCCTCCTAGTATTCTCTGATATTGTGCATGTCAATGCAAATGCCAAAGCATGACAGACTGTTTTCCATTAGCAGAATCTTGAGCTGTATCAAAGAGCCAAAAGATTTGCATTCAGTAAATGAAACAGTGTCCCGCTTAAAGCAAAACAATTCATTTTCTCTGCTCTCATTACATGAGATGAGATTTGAATGTTATCAGCTGTGTATGAATTCAACCTTAAAATGGAAAGCACAAAGCTGCTAATTTGGCCCATGAATCCCCACATCACTGTTCCTTGTGTTGGTGAGAGTTTATATAACATCATCAAGCACCCAAGAATCGGTGGTGAAGGTTGGATGCATGACATTCCTCCAGATGAATAAATCTTTGATTCTGGAGTTTGAGTGTTTGGCCAGATAGCTCTTTCTTCTGTTCAATGGCAATTTCATCTGTATAAGCCAGGACCTGGCAAATCCAGTTCTTTGGATTCTCCGTTTTTTTTTTTTTTTTTTTTTAAGATTTTATTTATTTGAGAGAGAGAGAATGAGAGACAGAGAGCATGAGAGAGAGGAGGGTCAGAGGGAGAAGCAGACTCCTTGCTGAGCAGGAAGCCTGATGTGGGACTCGATCCCGGGACTCCAGGATCATGACCTGAGCCGAAGGCAGTTGCTTAACCAACTGAGCCACCCAGGTGCCCAGATTCTCCATTTTATATCATAAAATTAACACCCTATTTTCCTTAAAAGACAAGGAAATACAAAGAGTTGTACAGACAAGCATGTTTGTGTGCATGTATTTCCAATTAGCACAATAAAGACTGGCTGAAATTGAAACATATTTTAACCATAGGAGTAGCTGGAAAACATTTGTCCAACCTTATTTTTCTTTAAACCAGAGCAATAATGGTTACATACTTTGACGTTTTCAATCTGTATTCAGATGGCTCCCTGCTATGGCTTTTTCCATTTAGGACCCACTTAAATATCAATACTTGTGAAATAACAGCTCCAGAGCTAGCTAATGAAATAAACTTTTCCCTTTGACATTCAACAACTGTTCTTTTCCAAGAGCCTTATTGATCCAAACAACTACAAAATGGTATTTTTATCTCATGTTAGCATTAAAAAATCATATAATGAAATATTTTGAAGATAAAAAATTCAAAGGTTGAAATATAAAGAAACATAATTTATTCATGGTGAATAGTCTCCAACCCATATTATTCTCATGATGCCAGAGAGCCTTTCTTTGTAATAAGTATTATGCAAACCCACACCCAAACAAGCTGTTGGCAAACAGGGCCACTGGAAATGCAGACAAAGTAGGAAACCAGTTACCTGGCAGGATTGGAAAGGCTAAAAAATGCCCATCTGCTTTGAAGTGTCTTCCCTAGCAGCCATGGCCATGTTGACTCTTGGAGGTCTGCCTTTGGTTAAAGTTAATGCAGCTCCAGAAGATGCTTCTTAAAATGAATATTTATAATTTCTATTACTCTTAAAGGAGTAATAGAATTTCTCATCATATCCTGGTCTCAGTTATCAGATTAAATAAGAATGTTTCCCCCACCAAAAATGATAAATTCTTGTGAGGATATGGGATATGCAGGAACCTGAGAGAGTTGTATGCTATGTTCCACTAAGTGTTGGGAAATGTAGGACAGGAAGGGAAAAATAGCCAAACATCAGGGTGAGGAAACTGAGTGTCGGCTGTGGGTTTCTCCTCCTCTCACTGTGAATTTCCTCTAGATTGAGGAAATGCCTGTGGGGATCCCCTGAGAGGGACTTAGAGACCTCAATAAAATGTGTCTGTATGACATTTTTTGTTACCCAAGTAGAGGACTGTACTGGATTGAATAGCGTCAGGGTGGCCCTAAACCCAGTGCCTGGTGTTCTTATAAGAAGACCATAACAGACATAGAGACAGAGGAGACACACAGGAAAAGGCCATGTGATAAAAGAAGCAGAGATTGGTGGCCTTGTCAGCTTCTACAAGCTATGGAGCACCAGAGATTGCAACCCCAAGGAACAAGAAGAGGTAATAAACTATTCTTCCTTAGAGACTTCAGAGAGAGCCTGGTTCTACCGATGCCTTGATTTTGGACTTTTAGACCTCAGAACTGAGAAAGAAAAATTTCTGTTGTTTTAAGCCACCCAGTTTATGGTTCTTTGTCACAGCAGGAAACCAATACAAGGACCATGTTCTAAAAAAGTCCATTCGAGCCTTTCTCTGGTGAAAAAATTCCCAGAGACATTCGTTGATAGACACCAGCCAGCCTTTCAAAACAGCACTCCTGGGGTATGCTGGAAGGCCTCAGTTCTCTTCTTGATTTGGGGGATCTTGGCACATTCCAATAAATCAGCAGTTATATTCATCTTCTGTGTGAACATTGCCCCCTACATCCACCATAGTGCTATGAGTTCTAAAGGAAGCAAAAGTCCTTCAAGACAAGTCCTAATGAATTTACTACTTGCTTAATGATAATGCACATATAAGAAAAAGAAAAAAGAAAAAACAAGGCAGTATGTAATCACAGTGAGAAAAAATGGCCTCTGGAGTAGGGGGAAAGCCAAAGGGAAGCTGTGATTAGAGATGTGAACCAAAGTACGAAGGTTCAGTATGACACAGTATAAGGAAGAAGAGAGAAGTTCAATAAATGGGACTACTAACACCTAAGTATTAGGATATATATGACCTAAAAGAGCACTATCAATCAATTAGATCCAATTGACATTTGTAGAGTATTTTATTCACCAACAGCAGAATACATGTTCTTCTTAGGCTCACATGGAGCATTCACCAAGATAGACCATATTTTTGGCCATAAAACACACCTTACTTAAATTGAAAAGAATTGTAATCATACAAAGCATGTTCTTAAATCACAACAGGATTAAACTAAACATCAGAAAGATAGCTAGAAAATCTCCAAATACTTGGAAATTAAACAACATACTTCTAAATAGCACATGGGTCAAAATAAATCTCAAGAGAAATTTTTAAATATTTTGGAAAACATAAAAATATATCAGTACTGATCCTTGGATATTAAAAGCCTAATAAGGAAATGCTATAAGAAACTCTAAGCCCACAAATTTGATTAACTGAAATGAGATGGATCAATTCCTTGAAAGATATAAACCATCAAAACTCACAGAAGCAGAAAGAGACAACCTGGATCACCCAATATCTCTTTAAGATATTGAAGCAATAATAAATAAGTTTCCAAAAAAGAAAGTATATGCCCAGATGGTTTCACTGGTAAAGCTACCAAATATTTAAGGAAGGAATAATACTAATTCACCACAATCTCTTCAAGAAATAGAGGTAGAGAGGACATTTAAAACTCATTCTATGAGATCAGAATTACCCTAATACTAAAACCAGATTTAAAAAAAAAGATATTAAAAGAAAGGAAAACTATAGTCAATATCGCTCATGAATATAGACATGAACATTCCCAAC